GGAGAGACCAATGGAAGAGAATTGAGAGTCAAAAATAAATTCATATATCTACAGCCGATTGATTTTCAACAAGGTTGCCAAGTCCATAAAATAGGGAAAGAATAATCTCTTCAACAAATGGTGCTGGGACAACTGGATCTCCACATGTAAAATAATAAAGTTGGATTCATACTTCACACTATATATAAAAATTAAACCAAAATGGATCAATGACCCAAATGTTAAAAACTAAAACCATAAAACTCTTAGAATAAAATATAGGAGTAAAGCTTCAAGATCTTGTTTTTGATAATGAATTTTAGATATACCACCAAGAGCACAAATAACAAAAGAAATATATATATATATATAATGGACTTCATCAAAATAAAAGATTTTGTACATTAAAGGACTTAATGAAGAAAGTGAAGAGAAAACCTACAGAAAGGAAGAAAATATCTGGAAATCTATCACATAAGTGTTTATTATCTAGAATATATAAATAACTGTTACAACTTAATAACAAAAAGAAAAACTTAACAACAAAATGAAAAACAACCCAATTTAAAAAAATGGAAAAGAACCTGAATAGAAATTTCACTAGAGAAGATACACAGATGGCCACAAACACATGAAAACACAAAAACACTAGTTATTGTTGTTAGTTGCTGTCAACTCATGGGACCCCACTTGCTGGAACTGCAAATCAAAACCACTATGAGATACCACTTCACTCCCATTAGGATGGCTATGAGCAGAAAAATGGAAAACAGTTAAGTGTTGGTAAGGATGTGGAGAAATTGGCACCCTCATCCACTGTTGATGGGATTGTGGAATAGTGCCGCCACTGTGGGAAACAATTTGGCAGTTCCTCAAAAAGTCAGACGTAAAATTACCATATGACTTAACAATTCCATTCCTAGATATATACGCAAAGGAATTGAAAGTAGGGACTAGAACATAAACTTGCACACTGTGGTAGTTAAGGATATGTGTCAACTTGGCTGGGCCTGAATTTGAGTGGCTGGGCACCTGGATGTAGTGATTCCCCATGATGAGACTGGTAATCAGTTCTCCATGGTGGAATCTACTGAAGCAGTTAAGTCGCTGCCTTAGGGATATGGTCTGCTTCCAGTACATAAGGTGATGTTTTGAGAAAGGTCTTGGCAGTTTTTTGGCACAGTTGGCCCTGCATGCAGCCAAGTCTTAATTTAGCAGCCTGACAAGTTTCCTGTTGATCTTATGACTGTCTCTGGCTTGAACTAGTGTCCTGCTGTGTGGTTTGATAATTTGGGGACTGTGCCATTTTACATGTTGACCTTGGGTTTGTCAGCCTCAGCAGCCAGCAGCTGCCTGAGTGAAGAGATGCCTCTAGTTCCAGTGGGGGCTGGGAGAGGCAGAGCTAAAGCCCAAGATGGAAGGGCTTTCACCCAACCCCTGGAACCTGGCACTTTGAACTTGGACTTCTAGCCTCCTAAACTCTAAGAAAATAAACTCCTGTTTGTTAAAGCCATTTGCCTGTGGTTTTTCTGTTAGAGCGGCACAAACAAAACGAAACACACACCAATGGTCATTGCAACATTATTCACAGTAGCCAAAAGGTGGAAACAACCTAAATTTCATCAACACATGAATTGATCTTAAAAAATGTGGTATAGCAATACAATGGAACATTACTCAGAAAAAAAGAAATGAAATTCTGACACATGTTACAATATGAACTTTGAAAACATTATGCTGAGTGAAATCAGTTGGTCACAAAAGGACAAATATTGTATGACACCACTTATATGAGCAGATTGCCCAATCTTCCTTCCGAGGAGTGGCTGGTGGGTTTGAACCGCCAGCCTTCTGGTTAGCAGTCAAATGCCTTAGGCACTATGCCACCAGAGCTGCCATATGAAATATCTAGAATAGGTAAATGTACAGAGACCAGAGTTATCATTGGTTACCAGGTAGTGGGAGAGAGTGGGAAAGGGAAAGTCATTGGTTAGGGGGCACTGAGCTGCTGTTAATGGGAATGGAATATTTGGAAATGGATAGTAGTGATGGCTGTGTAACATGATGAACTAATTGATGTCACTAAATGGTACATGTAAGAAATGACTAATGTTTTGTTATATATATTTTTACCTCACATACAAAAATAGACATTGTATAATTCCATTTGTTTGAAGTACCAAGTCAGGCAAACTAAAACTGATGATGGAAATCAGAACTGTATTTGCCTATGGGGTGTTGTATAGGGAGGAGAAACGAGAGAACCTTCAGGGGTGGTGGAAATACACATTTTACTGTATTTTAGTTATACCTAGAAGAAGTGGCAGGGAGTAAAGAGCTCTCTTTAATAAACTTTGCTTGCAATGAAAAAAAAAAAAAAGATTGGTCAAACCCAGAGGGACTGCAAACATCTTGGATTAAAGACTTTCTTCTCAGGAAAATCTAGTGAGCATATGAACGTAGACTTGTTTTGAAAAGATTATGGATTTAAAATTCAGCACTTTCATTTTTTTTGTCTTTAACTCTTAAATAGAAAATTGTGCCCAGCCTTTCCAACCTGGACATTAATAAAGTTTGAAAGGAAAGTACATGGAACAATGAATATACCCAATGTGTTTTATGTCCACAGCCATTATTTCAAAAGACAATTCTCAGCTCAGGCTAGTTGAGGTCTACAGAGTCACACTGCCTTTCTGACTGAGCTTCCTAGACTGGCTGCACAGGCTCAGTGTTCCTGGCTTTTTTTGATCTCTGTGTAAATATGGCTGAAGAATACTATGCTTTGTCCAGACTACAGTCCAGATTATGGCTTTTCTTGGGGTCATTGTTCCTTTACCCCAACGTTTCCTTTTCTTTGCAATTCTGATCCTGGAATGTTTCAGTGTTGGGGTGGAGTGTGGAGTTGACTTTCCTTCTGGACCAGACTCTGGAATTCCTTGGAGGCTGACATCTCAAATGCAAGGATTTCTCAGGAAGTCTAGGAAGTAATAGTGGTTCCTGGGGCTTCCAGCCAGACCTTTACCTGAGCAAGCACAAGGGCTGAATGTAATAAATTTAATGAATGATGACAACAGCTAAGGGAGACTTTGGTTTTGACTCCATACCTTGGAAACCACCTCTCCACTTCACAGTTGAGTATACAGAGGCCCAGAGAGTAAAGACCTACTCTGTGTAGTTGTCCCCAAATTTATATTTATAACCCTATTTAACCTCTAAGCTACAGGCTCTTATATCCCACCTGGGTATCTCCCAGCCATCTAAACTCAAGACTGTTCTGAATGGACTCTTAATTTTCCTAGCTCCTTAGAACCTAGACCACCACCTCCCTTCAAAACAAAAAACAAAAAACAAAAAACAGGGTTCTTCCTCAGCTCTGCCCCTTCCCTCACAACAATCCTATTGATTTCAGTCCTGCATAGATTTTCAACCTGTCCATCTTCTCCATGCTGAAGCTGCCTCCTTGTCCAGCTCCTTCTCTGCTGCAGCCTCTTCCCAGGTGTCCCAGCTTCTGCCCTTGCTTCAATTACCCCTTCTCTCTCAACAACCAGACTGTTGTCTGGTTGGGCAAGGAAAGCAAACTCCCAGGTGTGGCTCCTATGGTCAGGTGTTTAACACCTCCCTAACAAGGCCCCACTCCTTGGAAGGAAGGTTGGGCAATCCTACTTCCGTAGTGATACTGCCTCGGAAACCCAAGGAGGGGTCGCTATGAGTCGGGGCAGACTCGACAGCAAACAACAACAACAACAACAACAAGGTCCTCTCTAAACCCAGGTTGTTGTAACCTCTTCCCGGGACAGACCCTATCTTCTGCTTTTGGAAGCAGGGGGGAAACTGTGCATTTTGAGTCAGACAGTCCTAAATTCAAGTCCTGGCTCATTTAACCAATCTCTGCTTCAGTTTACCCATCTGCAAAACGGAGATTATATTAACCAACACGCCGACTTGATGGCACATAACAATAACAACACTTTACTAGGAGTTCTGGTGGCACAGTACCTAAGGCACTTGACCGTTAACCAGAAGGGTGGTGGTTCAAACCCACCAGCCACTCCTCGGAAGGAAGACTGGGCAATCTACTTCAATAGAGATACCGTCCTGGAAACCCAAGGAGGGGTTGCTATGAGTCGGGATCAATTCATCTGCAGTGAGTTTAGGGTTTTGTTTTTTAACCTGAGAAGGATGCTGTGATAACTAAATGACACCACTAACCAAGAGGATGGTGGTTTAAACCCACCCAGTGGCGCCACGAAATAAAGAACTGGCCATCTGTTTCCATTAAGATTACAGCCAAGAAAAATCTATGGAGCAGATCTACCTTCAAACCTGGGTTTAATGTAAGGTTTCCCTAAGTCAGAATTGACTGGATGGCAAAGGGGTTTGGTTGTTGGTATAAAGGACTTATCACAATGCCTAGCATACAACAGGAGTTTAAGGCGTGAATGAAAGTTACTGTTCTCATTCCAGGGCGCTCTAGTCATGTAGTGCCTAAAGAATTCGACCGCTAACCAGAAGGCTGGCGGTTCAAACCCACCAGCCACTCCTCAGAAGGAAGGCTGGGCAATCTACTTCTGTAGTGGTACCGTCTCGGAAACCCAAGGAGGGGTCGCTATGAGTCGGATCCCAGTAGCTGTGTACAGGCTCACTCATAAGATGGTAAGTTTCTTGTCACAGAAGTGTGTGCAAGAGCTACTTGGTGCTTCAAGGATTCTAGTGCCCGCAGAACAATGACCTCTTAATATTCTTCCCAGCCTCAAGCAATCCTGCTCCTCAGAGTCAGACTTTCAGTTCCAGCGCAACACCAACCTGGGTGTCCCCGGTATGCACCCCGCATGTCAGCTGCCGCCTGCTTTCAATAAAGTTGATTTGAATTGACCCCAGACAGAGGGAGAGGCCCATTCCAGGAGCTATCTAGGCCCCGCCCCTCGGTCATCCGGTGGGCGGGTACACGCAGGGGCCGCGCCCTGTCATTGGACCGCGGCGTCTGGAGAGGCGGAACCTGTTCACTTTTGCTGGCTCCGCTGTGTTGTCTTTTGGCCGCGCCTAGAGGACACCGGCAAGATGGCGGCGGCGTCTGTGCTGGTGCGGAGGCCCTCTCAGCAGGTAAGCAGCAACGAGAGGGCCAGGGCGAGTCTCGTGATCCCTGCCTACTCCGCGTCTCCTCTAAACGCCCCCTTTTTCTCTGGCAGGTGTCTGGGCTTCTGAGGAGGCGTTTCCATCAGACCGCGCCGGCTGCGCTGCAGGTAACCGGCCCAAACACCGACCAGGAATAGATGGAGCCCCTTGTCGGGTCCGAAGTCAGGGTCGCGCCTGCGCTGTGGCCAGGCGGCGGCAGCGGGCCTTGGGGTCTGTAACTCTCGCACCCTGCGTGCGGTGCGCCTCCGGGTCTTTTTGACGGCCTTGCCCTCCTCGTTCAGCAGATCCCTCCTTGTTCCTTAGAACTGTCCAGGTGTCATCGCCTCTAGGAAGCCCTCTTGATCCCCAAATGGGTTTAAGGCCCCAGGCCGCTCACCACGCTGGAGCCTAGTGGGACTCGTGCTGCCTTGTCGCTTCCTGGCGCCAGTCACCCCGCAGTGTCACACTCGTGAGGCTGGCTGGGATCAGAATGGCAGTTGACGACCTTCCCTTATCCACCTCAACGGTCCCCCTCCCCCTTTCCTTTTTTAAATTAGAGGATTCTGTCAACCTAGGTAGTAACATAACACCTCCAAGGTGGGTGTGAGGATTGAACAAGATCCTGAAAGAACGCAGCGTTTGGCAGTGCCTGGCACCTAATGAATAAATGAATAGTGATGTTTAGTATCAGTATCAGAACTACCTTGACAGTTCTCTGTCCCTTATTACAGCAACTGTGCAAATAAAGCAACTTAATATACTTTCTGCTTAGGTAACAACTTTTGAGCTGGTCTGGCCAAGTGAAGCATTTTTCTTAAGCTTGGGTGCACATCAAGCAAAGTGTTCAATAAGCTTCTCATTAACACACCGAAGACCAACAGAAGTTACTTTCAGAAATCTTTGACCTCCTAAAGAGAAACCTGTTCTAGTGTTAGTTTTTACACAATATGGTGTGGGCGGCCTAGGAATGTATAAAGGGAGAGATCTCGATGATATCCTAAAAGATTTTGTATTTACTGACTACTTATACCTGTGACAGGTGACAGTTCGTGATGCTATAAATCAGGGGATGGATGAGGAGCTGGAAAGAGATGAGAAGGTTTTTCTGCTTGGGGAGGAAGTTGCCCAGTATGATGGAGCATACAAGGTAATCAAAATACATGCCAGTTACACAAAATTGAGGTGGCTGTTTGTTGCTAGATACACTTAAAAGTAATGAGATCAATTCTAATCATAGGTTAGTCGAGGCCTATGGAAGAAATATGGAGACAAGAGGATCATAGACACTCCTATATCTGAAGTAAGCCTTCCAGCAAGAAATAAGCGTTTTGAGGGGCATATTGGTTAAAGTGTTATTATTTTTATGGATATTCACTCATTTTGGGCTTTGCTTTATAGATGGGCTTTACTGGAATTGCCGTAGGTGCAGCCATGGTATGTAATATTGCCTATGAGGGTCATCCAAAGAGGTATCTTTCTTTCTAAAAACAGTTTGACTGTTGCAGGAACAGAGTGGTGGTTTGCCACTCCTCAGTGCTGTGAGTTTCTAACATCCATATTTTTTACTTGACAGGCTGGGTTGCGGCCCATTTGTGAATTTATGACCTTCAATTTCTCTATGCAAGCCATTGACCAAGTTATAAACTCGGCTGCCAAGACCTACTATATGTCTGGGGGCCTCCAGTGTGTGCCCATAGTCTTCAGGGGGCCCAATGGTGCTTCAGCGGGTGTGGCTGCCCAGCATTCACAATGCTTTGCTGCCTGGTATGGGCACTGCCCAGGCTTAAAGGTGGTCAGCCCCTGGAATTCAGAGGATGCAAAAGGACTTATTAAATCAGCCATTCGGGATAACAATCCAGGTCAGCAGAGTGACCCTTGGGTCTTTTACAACCCCCCTCCACAAAATAAAAACCAAACTCACTGCTGTTGAGTGGTATCACTACAGAAGTAGATGGCCCAGTCTTCCTTCCGAGGAGTACCTGGTGGATTTGATCCGCCAGCCTTCTGGTTAGCAGTCAAATACCTTAAAATCTTTGCATAAAAGAGCTCATTAAAGGCTTCAAGTGGGACTTAAGGAGCCCTGGTGGCACAGTGCTCAACCAAAAGGTCAGCCATTCAAATCCACTAGCTGCCGCACAAGAGAAAGATGTGGCAGTCTGATTCCGTAAAGATTACAACTTTGGGAACCCTATGGGGTGGTTTTACTCTGTCCCATAGGGTCACTATGAGTCAAAATCAACTTGATGGCAGTAGGTTTTGGGTTTTTTTGGGGTAGTGGGGGTTAGACAGCTCATACAAATATTAATGATCTACAGGTACAGTAAAGATAATAAAGAATGTGAGTGTTTTTATTTCTGACTAATCAACTAGATAGATGGCAATGGTTTTTTGTTGTTAATCAGCATAGTGGAGATTTTCATAAAATGTATGATATTGCTGTATATACCTTTTTAGTCATTCTGCATGTAATTTGTGTATTTATTTTTGTTTAAATACTTTGCAGTGGTGATGCTAGAGAATGAATTGATGTATGGAGTTCCTTTTGAACTCCCTGAAGCAGCTCAGTCAAAAGATTTTCTCATTCCTATTGGAAAAGCCAAAATAGAAAAGCAAGGTAAAAGAATTTAATACGTATTTAACACTGTTTTAAATCCAGCCCCTCTGTTTGTATCAATCAGATTCACCTGAGAAGTTAGTGCCTTTTTACTTTGAATTAAAAAAAAATCATAGATGAGTTGAAATTTAAAAAAATGTGTGGTACCCTATTTCCCATAGAGTTGTCCTTTTCTAAATCTCAGTCCAGTAGATTTGTATTTTGTTTCCAGCAAGGCTGCCACATTCCTCATGTCATTGGAATGAAGTTGAGTTGAAGACATGAGCAAGAGCCCCAACTGGCTACAGAGTGGTAAAGAATCTTTAGTTTCATCCTGACCTCCGGATTTTGATCACTGTGTTGCAGGGACGCATGTAACCGTGGTTTCCCATTCAAGACCTGTTGGCCACTGCTTAGAAGCCGCAACAGTGCTGTCTAAAGAGGGAATTGAATGTGAGGTGGGTGGACATTCATGTGTTCTTAAAAAGTCAGAAAGTCTGCTTTTAAATTTAAGATTTAGAATTAGAAGCTTGAGTTCTGTAACAGGTTAGGTAGATGTAACCAGTCTTGTTTTGTCATTTATGTTTCGCCACTGCTTGAAACTTGGAGCCCACTTGCTTTTCTAATATTTTATCTATTAGCCACTTGAGTTCTAGATCTTTTAGAATATTCTCTACTGTGTCAAGTTGAGGTCAACCTTGGATTTGGAGGTTGGGAGAGAGGAAAATTAGAAGTGAACCTAACCCTTTCATATCCAGGACCCACCACTTACTAGTTATGCTTGAGCAAGTCTAAGTCTCAGTTTCATCAGCTGTAAAGTAGGGGTAATGGAAATATTGTTCCATCATAGGTGTTGTAAGAATCACACTTAGCCTGATGCCAAGAACATGGTATACACTCACATGTTATATTGATTTTGGTGAGAGGGGAGTTAAGGCTAAGGAAGGCTAAGTAGATTCTGCAGATTAACAGCTACTTAGAGTCAAGATTAAGATTTTTGTTTTAATTGAAACTTTCCTTTACATTTGTATGTGAAGAGGCAGATTAGATTTTCCTAGACTCGAAGATGGACAAGAAACAAAAAAGGAAGTGGCATGATGGGGGCAAGGCTTTATTTGTGATGCAGTGGCTCTATAAAGTGTATTACCTGTTTAGGTGATAAACATGCGCACCATCAGACCAATGGACATTGAAACTATAGAAGCCAGTGTCATGAAGACAAATCATCTTGTAACTGTGGAAGGAGGATGGCCACAGTTTGGAGTAGGAGCTGAAATTTGTGCCAGGATCATGGAAGGTATTTCAAAGAAACTGGTTCTTGGTTACAGTCACGCTATAATCAACATTATGCACCTAAATACTGGATAAAAATAGCAGTGACAGGGAGGGAACATTACAAAAAAAAAAAAAAGCATTGACCCATGTCACTTTACTTTTGTGTATTTCACTGTACATAAATTGTATTTCAGTAAAATTTTTTTTTTTTTTTTTTCAAAGGTAGCAGTGACAAAATAACTTGAGCTTTGACCTTGCCAGTTTGGCATTTCTCCTTTGGCTGAATGTTAAAAAGCAAATAAGAAATAATTCCTTGTAATTAAGAGTTCCTTTACCTTCTGTTCTCTTTTTCAGCCAGCCACTCGTGTCAAGGTGGTAATGTTCAGCTAAGCCCATCTTTTCTTGCCTCTCTCTCACTTTAGTGATTCTTCTCTCCTAGGTCCTGCATTCAATTACCTGGATGCTCCTGCAGTTCGTGTCACTGGTGCCGACGTCCCTATGCCTTATGCAAAGATTCTAGAAGACAACTCTGTACCTCAGGTCAAAGATATCATATTTGCAATAAAGAAGACATTAAACATCTAGTTCAGGTTTACATTTTAAGTCATTGGAATTTCTTATTTAAAATACTTGCTACTTTACCTGGATTTTTACCATAAGACTTTATTCATGAAGTACTCTCTAAAGCAACAATACATGTTTTTGTACTGGGAAGAAGTTTAAATGTGCTTGTGTATGGAAAACTCTCCATGCTTCTTTTTGTCTGTTATAGTTGCCATATTGTTTAAATAAAACCAATGTAAAATGCTACTGTCTTTCTAGAAGGACAAGGTATGGAAGTGGCCTGGTGAAAGATACAGCATAAAAAGATAACTTACATGTATAAAAGTGTATAATCTACATTTACTATTGGATTGTTTTGATACAGAATAAAGGAATTCCTGACTATGACTACTATTTTTATATTCTTAAGGAGAAGTGGAAATCTTAAAATTCTATTAAGAAATTAGTACCACATGGAAAATAAGCTGATGGAGTACAAAATGATTATTTCCTTTTACTCACCTGACACTTTATCCCAAATAGCAAAACTAACTTTAGAAGGACTTGGGCCTCACTGCCTCCATCAGCAACTAATCACCCAGACACACATAGCACTTGGAATGGGAACCTGTAGATTTCTTCAAATGCCTAATTCTGATAGTTTTACCTGCAAAATTCCTGTCAGATATTTTTTGCTATTGCCAAAAACCAGCCATTCTGTCATACACTGACTATGCTCTTCAGAAGCTGTGATAGAAAAGATGGTTTAAATTAAGACAGTCAAAGAGGTGGTACCTAATTTAAACAGCAAGGCAAGATTCTTAGCTCTGATTCATTAGGAGGGAAAAAGCAAAAGAGGATAGGTGGGAAATAAACAAGAAATACTGTGTGGATGTATATGTTTACAAAAGGTGCTATCAAAAAGTTCTCATCTGAAATATCGAGGCAAGCTACAGATAACACATTGTCTTGACATGGTTTATTTTAATAAAAAATACAGCTGAACATAGATTACATGAAACTATACACAATGACATTCTCTGCATAGTAACCAACACTGATGTGGGTACTTGAAGTTTAAAATGGATTGTTTATAATCCTTTAAAGTGCAATTTATTTAAGGTTTAAGCAAATCATAGGGTAAAGAATCTTTCCAATAAATGAGTAACATTAAAACGATGACATATTTGGATAAATCTTTTGAAAACCAGGATTGATTTCTATAGATGCCAAATTTACTTGTGTTGTAATAATGATCTCCCCTGCCAAACCCCAAATGTAACTGCTGAGGATTGAGAAGATCCTCTAATCGGTGAGAGCTTTTTCTGATAGTAACATATTTTGTGTTAGTACGTTCTAACTAAAAGATCTAGAGTAGTTTCAACAGCAGCCCTGAGTTCTCTAACCATGATGGTGTTCCTGTTAGAATGTTATGAGCTTTCCCTGTTCTATCTGAGGGGAAAATGAAGAACTCTAGTGACTTTTCTGACCTCAGCAACATAACTGTTACAGGCTATAGTGTTAATGTCTAAGATGAAATCAAAGTAACAAAAATGGGAGTTATCTATGCAATAACCAAAAGATGCTTCAGAATAAGGAAATGTACTACGAGAGCAACGTTTCTAGGAGCTCCCTGATGGGGTAGGTGGGACTGCAACACAAAGGCCATTCACTGCTGTGACTGAATGTTGTCCTTCTTTGTTTGTCCAATTCCTTCAGTTGGTAGAAATACTGATTCCAACATGCTGCTGCCCAAAAAAAGATGCCCTTAGAGAATGAGTAAGACTCCTTTAAAATGTTAACAAAAGGAGCAAAATATTTATCTTAAGGCAGCAATGCCTGCCTGCCTTTTTAAATTGAAGAGTATTTCCCTCTTGAAAAGCTGCTTACATGAGTACCTGCAAAACAGTATGTGGCTGTACTGGCTCAGCAATGATTTATCCAGGAGGAGGGTACTTGAGGGGTTGGGGTAGGAGGGAAAAAAAGAGCTTTTCCCTCCACATGTAAACAGGAAGCTTCAGCCGACTTTAGGAGCACTGTGGTCACAGGTTTCGGCTTTCCTCAAAGTTCCTTTCTGGAAATTCTGGATGGAGCTGAGCAAGGCCCCGCGGCTCACACCATTCACAGCCTGGGGCAGGAGCTGTGCAGGTGCCTCAGTGCTGGCTGGAGGCAAGGGAGCTGCTGGTGGTGGAGGTGGAGGCGGAGGTGGAGGAGGTGGAGGGAATGCTGATATGCCTGCAGAGGAAAAAGGAGGCAGTCAGTGCTCACCTCTCCAACCCATCCTGCACACATGCTACTGCTCAGGCCTGGGCAGAACAGTGTTTGGTGACTGCAAATGTTTTCCTTTACAGGGACCAAACTATCCAGTATCCCAGGATTATTATTATTTTTTTTAAATACTTAACTACAAAGCTATAAACATCAAGGGAGAATGAATCAAATGTGGCCATTTTCCCCAAATAATGGTCACATGAGAGAAGACTGTCTTAACATGTATCACAGACTATATGAAACTGTACACAATGATAATTCTCTCTGCATAGATGAGGCTATACCCCATTTCCAAATTTTAGTCATGGTCTCAAAAGAAGAGTTCATCAACTGCTTACCCAGGTCTGAGGCAGCTCACCTGCTCCTCCACTAGTAATTAAGGATAGACATCTGTATGCATAGAATTGGGCTACCTGCATATCAATTACTAATAAGGGATGAACAGTTCTTGAGCTGTTCCAAAACACACAATGTTTGAAGGATGTGATCTAATATAAAGTGACAAACCATTCAGGATTCTTGGCAAGGAGCCAGTGCCTGCTAGGTTATGGGTTCCTAAGGGAAGTCTGTCTTGAATAATTATTTCCTATTAGGTGCATTAAAGAAATATAAAATGCTAATAAGTGTTAGCAACGCATAGCAGGGGGTAGAAGGGTCCTCTTCCTTGTAATAGCATTCTCTAGGATGAGTCTTCTTCAAACACTGTTCTGTCCACTGTGGTCCAACTGAGGAAGAGGATGGAACTGCACTATACATGTATCTTTGCTGGAGCATCAAAAGAGACTAGAATGTTGAGCTCTACCCCAGTGAAGGAGGGCAGGGAAACTGGAGGTATCTAAAACTTCCTTCAGCTTCCAGCCACACAAACACTTGCAACTTGAATTTTATATTTCTGAATCAGTCAATGAATTGTTCTCGTAGGACAAAATGATCACTGAGGACAGAAAAGGCCCTGTCTTAGAGAACTTTCCTGTGCCACAGTGTAAGTTGCCCCATCTGTTGTGAACCTTGCAGCTCTCTGTGACTCTGCCATCTGTGGCTGTCTCTCCCCTCCATCCACTCCTAGGGCTACACCAAGGAGACTTTCTGCTAGGTGGTTTTCCCCAAAATGGCTACTGAGCTGTGGAGATAACAGGTAAACAGCCCAATCACCGCTTGAGTTCATATGGATGAGTAATTCAGGATCACTAAGAAACTGATAAGCACATCTTTTTTTTTTTTTTTTTTTAAAAAAAAAAAGAGTGTGACAGGAAACAGTTAAATTTTTACAATGCACAGAAAACCACTTACCTTCCTTTACATCATATACCCAAACTTAAGGCAGCTGAAATTTAAAAATCACACAAACACACATACTCATGCTCTGAAATGTTGAAAATCTCAAACAGTGATAATGTAGCAACACAAAGATTAAAGACAAACAAATGGGCAAAATGAACAAAATCTCATTTTCATTGGCTCTGTACAGTAACAGAAAACTAACAAATGAGTATGTTCCACGGCTTTATGTTAGAGGGTTACAAAGAAAAAAAGGCCTTTAGATCTCTAATGACTGTTGAGGTGAGAAAACCAGGGCGAATGAGTATGTGATGTACACACTCCTCTGGAGGGAACTTTCCTACAGTGACCAGGAAAACACTAGGCGGAGCAGAACCTGCCACTGAAGGCTCTTGGAATTCAGAGTTGAATCTCTTGACTGGGCACCCGGAGTGCTGGAGGAGTGAGCTCTGCCCATTAGGGAGTGGATGGGGACCACATTGGCCTCTTTTCGGGCTCTCCCAACCAATGGCCACAAGAGGCCAGTGGTATCTGGACTTGACATTGAGGACCCAGTGTCTACCAGGGGCTCCAGGGTTTCTGCTTCTCAGCTTTGTGCTTTCATCCCTGGCAAATGAGTCACTGCTGGGTTAAGGACAGGTTCTGGGCTGCAACAGCACTTGACTAAAGGCAAGAAACCGGCCATCTGGAGACCAGCCTCTCCTCCAGCCCAGGATTCTAAGAAGTTAGAAATGGGTCTTAGGGACCTACACTTTGGCACAAAATATAACCACTTGGCCCTCGGGGGAAGAAACTCTTAACTTTGGCCTCATTAACAGGCACTTGAAATAAAAAGTGTACAAACTGACTACCACAAGAGTTATGGAGTTTTGGGGTGGGGTTCACTAACTGGATCTTCATTTTCCAAGTAAAGGCTGATACTGTTGCCATTTTAAACAGATCTCTTTGAAAATGTAGGCAGTGTAAATAAATCCACTGTCCAAAGTGCAACAGGGTACCTTGTGCCTGTAAAGCAAATGGGATGCTGAGGATCTCTTTAAATGAAAGGCTGCTAATTCAAAGGATAAGAAGCAAGATTACCTAGATGTCTGCTCCCAAAGGGCCAGGCTGCTCCCAAAAGGCCTGAGGTCCCATTAGTCTTTTTTACTGAGCCTGAGACAACTACAGCAGATCTTGATGCATACCATACAATCAGGCAAGTAAGGCTAGAAATTAACCCACCAGCTCATCAAAGCTGGATGAAGCAGGAACTCATAGTCCCTTTCTACAGGCCCCAGCCCATTAATTTTCTTGGGTCTTTCTGCCTTGTCCATAGTCTGCAGCTCCTTCTAATGGTCCACTGGGGCTTAAGTTACAACATATAGGTTACAATGGAGGGGGGTGGATGGCAGGTAGGGGCAGAGGTGTATCTAAGGTATGGCAAGTTCGGCATGTGCCCTGGGTGCCAATTGAAGGGGGAGGGCACTGCCGAGCAATTTCTTTTAACCATCTCAATTTCCATCACCAGCTGTGAGACATTAATTCAGCAAGTTAAACTAATACTTTTATATTTCAGAGCCTCCATGGGTCAAGGCAGATTGTATGGTCTTGTTCTGCTGAGTAAAGAAAAAGAAGAAACTGAAAAAAATGACTTGGAACTCATCATAGACCAATTTTCATCAGTGAAAGCAAGGTAGAACAGTTGTAATTTTCATGTAGCGCCATAACATGCTGAGTAAAAGATTAATGAGCTTTGCTTATATTTTTGAGCTAATGTTACATAAAGTTATCTAAAAAAGGGTGTCAGATGTTTGGACAGAGGACCAAGTTCAGGGCTTGCCACAGGTGCTACTTAACAAGGGCCAAATTCAGAGTGTTCTCTGGCATGTGACACACCTGGTAACAACCGCCTACAGGCTGAGCTCCCAACTTCCTCCAATGTGAGGGAGTGTTCTTCCCATCCCTCTTCAAGCCCCAAGAGGTCTCTGATATCCCTTATTCCCAGGCTACAGACAGGACCTGACAGATTCCATATCAGATCAATTACTGAGTTCACACATCTTTTAAAAATAGCAGCCTGCAATAACAGGATGGAGAATGCTCCCAGAGAGCTTATTTATAATTATAAATAGCAACTCAGGACACTGAATGGTCATGAAGAAAATAAAACAATGTGAATGTGTGGTGCTACTGCCAGGATGATCAGTGTGACAGCCAGATGTCCCTCCCACATCCATGGGCTGACTGTGGAGTCAGCTCTCTGTATGGTCAATCCCATGCAAAAAGTATTAGTGGCAAAAAGTATTAGTATGGCCTGCAAGCGTTACTCCCGCCAGGCACCTAAGACTCAGCATCACGCCCATGTCCTAATTAAGTCAGTCCTGATCTCTCTAATCTCACCTTCTTTTAAGCAAAAACCCTGAGACCCCGCTACTCTACCCTCTCCAGGATCTCTTCCACCAGACCAGATGGCTGTGGTAAGGGAAGAACTCCTTGTCAGAAACGCCCTCGAAAGCCTTGTGGAAAGGACATCTGAGGGTCCACTTTCCTTGTGGCCAAATTCAGCAAGGGGGAGGTCTAGCAGTCTGTGTGGGTCTGAGTTCTTCTGTGGTCCACACATAGTGGTGGGGAGGTTAATGGCCGCCAACCAACACCAGACCTAGGAGCTACCCTCAGGAGAAAATGGAGAGTGTGACCTCTAGAAGCTGGCAGCCTCCAGCTCTTGGGAGAATTATTAAGGATGCTTAAAGAGAAGATCTATTTTTCCCTACTGTCAGTTATAAAAGCTAGTAAGTTGTCCCCTTGTAACCAAGAACTCAACTGCCTAATACCAATCCCTTCCACTGCAGTAACTAGGAACCAAGATTTTAGGAGCAAGGACTTTGAGAGACATGATTTCTAAAATTAAAATATGCCCAAATGCCATGCAATGAGTTTGCACGTTTTAGACTCCTTTGAAAGCTATATTTTAAAATTAAAATTACAGTGAAAAATGAAGATTTTGAAGGGCATGATGAAAATGAAATGAAAATAAATGAAATCACTGGGGGTGCTTTTTAAAGATGCTGTATTTCATTTAAATGTTCAGATAAGGAAATAGTCTCAAATCTGCTTTCCCACTTGTTCATCACTTCAGTAATTAAGACACACAGTCCCATTTCACATACAGAAACAGAGCATCTTTAAAGTCAGAGAAATCAGCATAGCTTACTTTACCGAAAATTCACGTTCAAAATGGTGCATGCTCTACTGAAAACAGCAAAGAGAAAGAGAGAAAGAAGGAACACAAGTCATTATTCAGATTTTAGTGTCATTTGATCAAACAGTAAGAGACAGTAAAATATTAGTCTGAGTCACATGCTGATTATTCTCACTGTAAAACTGGAGGTATTTACATCAACCACAAAATGCACTGGTTTGTAAACACGATTGTGACCCTTTTAGAACATGGCAAAAGTACTAACAATGAACCACTTTCTTTTTCACATTCTTTTTCTGAGCCTGTGATTTATAAGCACTACACTTCAGATTCTTCCTGAAGTACTACCTCCCCTGAAAAGTGGAATGAGTACAGGGAATGTATTTGGTTCTGTTACTGTGTAAGGACAGCTTATCAAGAGGGTAGAAAAATTAGAACTCCCTTTCTTCAAGTAAATTTTCTATAATGTAAGACAGAGACTTGTCTTTTTAAAGTTGGAAGGAGCATAGGCAGGGGAGGATTATCCAATAAGCAAGATAAGCACGGGCTTACTTGTACTTAGTTATTATTAATCTGTAGCAAACAGTTTCACATGGGTTTCACCATTGAGAAACATGTGAAACTGTTCACCTGAGCACAGTGCAGGCCAAAGGAGGAGCTCCTCAGCAGGTGGCCTCCTGAGAAGGGGCAGGGGACCTTCCCTGAAAGCTTGTGGTCTGGAGGCTGAATTAGGCAGTTAGTGGTCTAGAGGAAACAGCGTTATCTCACTTAAGCCTATAAAACCATTAAAAAAAGAAAAAGCTAGACAAACGTCTTGTCTTGGTCTTTTTAACTGGCTAGATTCCAGGTTAAATGTGAAGGATAAGAGCATTCCCTGACAGTAAAACCGAGTTCCTAATGAACCAACTCCATCCCATTATTGAGAGGAAAACTCCTTTTCCTGGGGAGGGGGCAGGAAGGCCCCTGTGGGGGAGAGGGGTCAGACCAAGTTCTGTAAGATACCAAGGATGCTGGGGACACTGCCCTGCCCACCTTACCCACACAAGGGGAGGAGCCCATACCCTTGGGCTTGGGAGTGGGGAAGGATGGCTTTGAGTGGGCCAGCAGGCTGCAGCAGTGGGCAGCAAGAGCACAAGCCACTACACTTTTCCAGGATACATGGCAGGGCCAATTTGTTCTTGCAAAAAAAAATGGTGGCTTATGTGGGTATGTATGTTGTTGCTGTTGTTATGTGCTGTCAAATCGGACCCGACTCATAGCAACCCCTCCATGGGTTTCCAAGGCAGTATCACCACGGAAGTAGATTGCCCAATCTTCCTTCTGAGGAACCACTAGTGGGTTTGAACCACTAGCCTTCTGGTTAGCAGTCAAGTGCCTTAGGTATGTACAGTTTGTGAGAAAAAGAGGTAATTCTTACGGCCAGACGTCGATTTTGAGCCTGCAATGGGTTTCAGACTTTGACTTGGCCAGGCAAATTCCAGAAGCTCCATGATTCTAAATAAAGTCATTTTCTTTGTGTCTTATTAATCCTTAGCCTTCTTTCCTGTTATTTAAGGTCCCACTCACTCTCTGTGCCCACTGGGCTGTTTTCCCTCCTTTAGCTCTCCAGATTCTAAACTTGCCTTTCTCAACATTCACTCTTACAGACTGGGGTTTCTCAAAACTGCCAGTTCTCTCTTTTCAAAATCATTGTTTAAAATTATATGCTATTACAAGAGGGGCTAGAATTTTCTGATTGCAGGGACATGCATTGTGCATACTTGGTAACACTTCATTCTCTGCAAACCTGGCTGTATACCTATCTACTTACTAAAGAACAGGAATTCTTAAAAAGAAACAAAAACAACTTCAAAGAAGAGAAATGACTAGTCCAAGGTCACAGGTAGAAAGTGATAGAGGTGTACTTAAGCTGGTTTTCTAACTCTACATTCAAAGAGTTGTTTCCATTCCCCTGAGCTCAGTGTTTAGAAACATGGGCCCTGGAGGGCATCCTGAAGAGAGCAGGTACTCACCACAAATCTCTGGGCTAAGTAAACAAATAGCCAAGTTTGAGCCCTATCTCTACTACTCCCCAACTGTGTGACCTTGGTCAAGTCCCTTAGTTCTAAGACAGCCTCGGTTTCCTTATCTGTGAAATGGACATACAGTATAATCTACTTATGGACCAGGTGGAGGGCCATGAGTATTAAATAAAGTGATGACTATAAATCATGTAGGTGCCTGACACAAAATAAATCCTCAAAATAGCTGTTACATACCAGTAATAAAAACGAATAATTTAGAGTCTCCTATTTGCTTAGTTTTCCTAAAATATTCTTTTGCAAACCTGGTTTTAAAAAAAAAGCGATGGAATGGATTGTGTGTATGTGTGTAAATTGGGACCTTCTAAACCACTTGGCTCTCTGAATACAGAGGGTAAATATTAGTTGGTGACATTTACCATGAAATAAGTAAGGAATTTTAAAGTTCATGAAAGAGTGACCTTCCAGAAGTAGAAAACATAACCTTTAGCAGCAAAGAAAGTGCTAGGAATGTCTCAGCAAAAAGATTTTAGAAAATCCTGCCTCATAGAATGGAATTGCCACCAGATGCAGGGAGATGATATTTCTCCCATCAATTGGGTAAGGACCTCAACAGTAGGTTCCAGGGAGGGAGCTACAGTAAGAAAAAGGAGGGGCTTGAGCCATCAGCAATTGCTAAAAAGGGTTCAAGACCCCTCACTTAGAAACACCTGCCATGTCCCATCCTAAAAGTAATTTAGCTTAAGACCACCCTTAGCTACCAGAAATGTGCTTACAGCAGATGCTTTCAAGAAGAAAGGCACTGCTGTCCAACTGAAGTTGCCTAACTTGATCTGTTGGTCTTGATGTACCATGGAGGAAGCAGCCAAGGAGTAGGCTCCACAGAGGAATTAGAGTGTGCTTAATTAGAAGGAGCCTGGGAGACGATCTCTTCAACTCCTGTGCTTTTTACAGTTGGAAGTAACTAAAATCCAAGTGTGCAAACTGATTCCTTCAAGGTTCCCCAGTAATTAAGTATGCCAAAAGCTTACTGTATACCAGGCATTGCTCTAAGCCCTTTACACATGTCCAGTGCAGTGAATTACTTAATACAGCCCTTATAGCCATAGTCCTTCATTTTGTGATGTATTGTAAATCCTAGCCTCTATGCCTATGGTTATGGTCCCATTTTGGAGTGAGTTATCTGTCATGTTAATGAGGCAGGATTAGGGTGGGAGTCTTGAGTCACCACCTTCCTAGAGGGTGAGACTCAAGTCTTCACCGTTAGTTTTCTGTGAAGGTGTGGTCTGCATCTGATACAGATGAATGCTCTGGCAAAGCTCACTATCCTGCTCTGGATCTTGCATCTGGTTCTTCATCTGACCCCTGGTTCTTGGGGCTTGAGACAGCAGCCTGTCATCTGACCTGAGGATTTGGGTTCCTCAGCCCCTCTAACCATGTGAATGAGAAGAATCCTCCAGACCAATGCCTGACCCATGGATTTGGAACTTGCCAGCCTCCACAACCATGTGAGCCATTTCTTTGGCATGAGTTCTGTGAGACATTATAGTGAAATAAAGAACCCTAAGACGAGAGGGAGAATACTGAGGGGAAGAGGAGTTGGTGTTAGAGAAGATGGAGCATTACAGCAGTTTGGAATAGCTGGACATTTGGGACATCTTTAACCTCCGTCTCATAGGGACCAGCCTTGTGCTGATCTTTCTAAAAGAAAGTATTTGAGCAACATTTAACTCACTGAATCCTCATAAGAACCCAGTGAGGCAGACACTGTTATTATGCTCATTTACAAATGGAAAACCTGATATGTAGGGAGATTAAGTGACTTGCCCCAGAAGTGGCCCTCAAGATTCGATTCCCCAACTCAGTGCAGTTCTCAAGGGTTCCCGGATTGGGTTGTATCTGATGTGTTGCCATTAGCATGTTTCTTTTTTAATACTAGCAGTGGGAAGTGAATTTTCCTTTATTTCCTGAGAGCATGGCTTTTCATCATCATAAAGATGGAAGACACTATCCTTGATGCAGTTCCCAGATAAGCATGCTTTTTTAAAAACTTGGTCTGGAAATAAAGATGTAAATTAGAGTATAGGTGATTCCAGCAGCAAGACAGGCAGCATGCAGAAAGGCAGCAAGCAAGAAAGATGAGCCCAATGAGAGGCCCTGCTTCCTGTCCTAGAAGGAGGGAACAGTCAAAGTAGGAGCTGGCCAGCCCAAAGTGCCAGTCCCAAGCTGAGAGTCCTGCCCTCATACCATTTGAAGTTTGAAGGCAGGGCAAGCCTATGCAAATCCATCAGCAAGGTTTTACTAAGCACCTCCTTTGGATTTGGTGACCTGTGTGTATTTCTGCTATGTCTTGCACAGAACAGAAATTTAAGTTGTTGCTTTTTGGTAGACTAGTTTTTCACATGGAGATCCTTTGTTTAAGAAGGGAAACTACTGGGAGAAAAAATGTACCATGGTTGGGCTGCAAAGGCAGTATTTGCCTCAATTGCGTCTATCATTATGGAGCTCCTGAGAGGACCTGGAAATGTGACTCCATGAGGGCTGGGGCCTTGTCTCTCTGCTCATATGCATTGTGTTCCGAGCATAGGGCCTGGCACATAGTAGGTACTCAATAAATGCATCCTGAATAACAATGAATAAACTCATTGTAGGTGCTCCATTTAGGGCCTGAAATGCTAGTCTGACAGGGCAATGCTTAATTTTATTGTTGCTGTTGCTCCATGCTATCTAGCCGATTCCAACTCACAGTGACCTTATAGGACAGAGCAGAACTACCCTATAGGGTTTCCTAGGCTGTTAATCTTTATGGGAGCAGAAGGCCACATCATTCTCCTGAGGAGCAGCTTGTGGTTTGAATCAATGACCTTTCATTGATTAGCAGCTGAGCACTTAACCACTGCACCACCAGGGCTCCTTTGCTTAATATTAAACTCACTGCCATTGAGTCAATTCTGACTCATAGCAACCCCCATTGGGTTTCCAAGGCTGTAAATCTTTATGGAAGTAGATTGTCCCATCTTCCTTCTGGGAGCAGCTGATGGGTTTGAACCACTGACCTGGTTAGCAGCCAAATGCTGCTTAATATTGGTTACCATTTTTATGAGATGTGTTATACAGTAAATGCCCAGTAGAGGTCAGAACACAGTCTTTGGGACTGAGTCAGTAATTTCATCCACAAAAAAGAAGACAACGGAAAGAAGGAGCCAGTATTTGCTAGGAGCCGGTTACTCTGCCAGGCATTATACTTGGGGCCTCCCCATGTTTTCCCTCAGAATCCTCACGACTCCCCTTCAGGGTCCAAACCACTGCCATCGAATCGATCTGACTCATAGTGACCCCCTTTGAGTTTCCAACACAGTAAATCTTTTCGGAAATAGCCTTGCAGAGTGGCTGGGGGGGTTGAACTGCCAACCTCTGGTTAGCAGTCAAATACCTTAGGCACTATGCCACCAGAGCCTTCAGGGTCCAAACCACTGCCATCGAATCGATCTGACTCATAGTGACCCCCTTTGAGTTTCCAACACAGTAAATCTTTTCGGAAATAGCCTTGCAGAGTGGCTGGTGGGTTTGAACTGCCAACCTCTGGTTAGCAGTCAAATACCTTAGGCACTATGCCACCAGAGCCTTCAGGGTAGGTATTATCAAATTCACAGTAATGACCCCTACTGCTTCCACTCACCTCAGACCAAGTTTTTCCAACATAATTATAATGACAAAGATTTCTCTTTTTTCTTCCTCTCTCTCTAAAAGTTACCTCATCTCACGCAAACCTGCTGTTGGATGAGAAAGTTCACATTCAAAACCCAGGTAAATTAGAGGATTCAAAAGAACTCCAAATAGATTGTGAATACCCCATGGAATTTACAGATGGGACGTATCAGTTAACTTCCCAGGACCACATCAGATACACAGTGAAACACTCTACTACTCAACAGATACCCCCTGTGTTAAAAGGCTCTGGGGGTGCACTGGTTAAAGTGCTTGGCTGCTAAGCAAATGGTCAATGGTTTCAGACCAGCAGCTGTTCCGTGGGAGGAAAAGACCTGGCGATATGCCCCCTATAAAGATTATAGCCTAAGAAACCCTGTGGAACAGTTCTACTCTGTCCTATAGGGTCACAATAAATTGCAATAACTTCACTGCACAAAACAACATGGATTCTTTCTAGTCTCCTTAATATGTCTAAATGGTGCGAACTTAATATCCTAAAGACACTTGTCTTCTAGAAAATGGCTCAACATGGTCTAGGCAGCGAATCTCTAGAAATTTCTGATCAGCCTATATAGGTCACCTCTACCAAAGACACAAAAGCCTATTTCTTATCTTGGCCAATACCTGAGAGTTTTCTTGTAAAAGATGCTGACAAACTCAGGGAAGAGAATACCATCCCTATTAGCCAGGAACTTTGCTCCTCAAAACAAGCTCTGGCCCCAGAACATTCTGCAGTAAGCCACTGGTAACCATCTTCAGCCAGAAATAAGTCGTTCAAACCAGTCACCTTGCATTGGCTTACTGACACTTCAGGAAGGTCAGCTAGAAGCATTTGGGAGCAGTTGGATAATGCTCTTGGCAGTTCCAGTGTGCCAGCTTAATGAATACAGTATCATCAACTCATAAATCAACTTCACCAAGTGACTCTCTCTTCAAACAGCTGGGACCCTTCCAAGCACAGTGGAAAAACTCTGAGTGGCAGAACCAGCTCCTTGGACATCCAGAACACTGGTTCATTTAAGAAGTTGAAGGAGACACTAGTACCCCACTGTGTTTCTCCCAGGCTTGCAAAATGGTTAGGAGAAAGATTTAGTCCAAGTATCCTCTGCCAATGAGTTGATTCTGACTTGCGGTGACCCTAGTGGACAGAGTAAAACTGCCCCATAGGATTTCCAAGGCTATAAATCTTTATAGAAGCAGACTTCATCAGTTTTTCACCCACAGAGAAGCTTGTGGGTTTGAGCCACCAACCTTTTGGTTAACAACCAGATGCCTTAACCACTATGCCACTAGAGCTCCATTTTTAGACCAAATAGAAAAGAAAGATAGTCTTATGAGTCCTCTTCACAGAATTATAGACTATTTTTTATAAGTACTCCCCAAAATATATTCTTTTTACATTTTTCAAACAAAACTGATAGTATCTGATTTAGTTCACAAGGGAGATGCAACGGCCAGCCACAGACAAATATTCAGGTAACTAAATGTATTACAGAATGAAACCAAGCACAAACAGTTGTCAGGAAATCAGAAACACAATGGCATGTTTCATTCTTGTACCTAGGCATTTCATCAAATTTGCACCATGACAAAATCATCGTTATAGACAGGCTCTAGAAGAAGTAGACTCTGGCAGGGCAGGGCCCCTAGGCAGCAGTGTTTGCTTTGTTCAGTTCAGCACTACCAGGACAAGCTGTGATCTGAGGCGCCCTGCATGAGGCCTTTCAGCAAAGAGAGCAAGCTTGAGTCAGAGGGTGGTTAGTGGCCTTGAATCCATTCCCTATGAAATCTACATTTGGAAATCTAGACCATCACCCTTCCCAAATGACATTGCTTCTTTGCACTCTCACTGGTTTCTCTTGAGAAAGCTGGTTCTACCTAACCCTGAAATGCTTGCACCAAGGCAGGAAGAGAACCAATCCAATTCTCCTTATGTTGGTGGAAAGGAGGAGGCAGGCATGTAACTTTACCTCCATTACTAACCTGCTGTAGAGGGTGGAGTCGGCGATGATGGGGACGTGAGAGGCGAGCTGGCCCCAGAGCCTGCTAAGAAAAAACACAGAGAAACCCTCATGGGGACTAAAGAAAAACATGTGCAATTTGGTCTGACCTGGGACCCATCGACATCTGAGAATTTGTACTAGGTTTAGTATGTAGACTTTAGAGTGAAAGGTGATTATAAAAACAAAAAACAGTTGTTACTGAGTTGACTCCACCTCCTGATGCCCCCCATATGTGTCTGAGTAGAACTGTGCTCCATAGGGTTTTCAATGGCTGATCTTTTGGAAGCAGACTGCCAGGTACCTCTGGATGGACTCAAACCTCTAACCTTCTAGTTACCAACTGAGTGCGTGAACCATTTGCACCACCAGGGATCCATGGGGTTGCCAAGAGTCAGAATTGACTCAATGGCAACTGGTAAAAGGTGACGGGAGAGAAAAATTCAGAGACTGAGTCAGATGACCACAGGGCAAGATACACTTCCTTCCCAGGCCACTAAAGGCTTAATGCTTCCCAGTGCTCCCACAACCTTCCCTGTTTTGAAACCAATTTTGCTCAACTACCAGCTTATGCAACTGGCTACGGTATTTCTACCAGACCCCAAGCTCCTCCCTGGTAAAAACAAACATATCTCAGAGGCCACAAGACACAGGGCAGTCCCATGGGGACCTCCCAAAGAAAGTAGAGCTTCCCACAGCATCCACCCAGCAGTGTGTTCTGCAGGATTTCCATTTTATCAACAGGTACATTCAATGAGGTAGGAGCCAGGTGGCACAGTGGTTAAGGGCGTAGCTGCTAATCAAAAGGTCAGCAGTTTGAACTTACCAGCCTCTCTGTGGGAGAAAAATGTGACAGTCTACTTCCATATAGATTACAGCATTGGAAACCCTATGGGACAGTTCTATATTGCCCTATAGGGTCACTATGAGTCAGAATCAAATTGACTGGATGGCAACAGATTTTGGTTTGGTTTGACATTCAATGAGATAGGTAGGGTCAGCCTGTTCAGTTTGTGGATTTCCCAGGCCCTTTTTTTACCTGAAATTCATTGAGCACCCTTATTTCTATTAAAAAGCAAAACCAAACCCACTGCCATTGAATCCAGGCTATAAATTTTTACGGAAGCAGACTGCCTTATCTTTCTCCCATGGGGTGGCTGATGGGTTTGAATCACTGACCTTTTATTTAGCAGCCAAATGCTTTAAGCACTGCACCACCAGAGTTCCTTTATTTATATTAAAGCAATGGGCATATTCCCATACATTCTCTAGACTTAGTAAATGTGCTATATTTCAAATATTCCCAAGTTTTCAGGATCTCCCCATTGCTTAGAAATCCCTAGAAAAGATCCTCTTGCCTGACCTAGATGAAGCCCCAATGAGCAGATGGGGGTTCCTACATAAGCCCCCTCTCACATACAGAGGTGTTATCCAAGGCTTAACCAAAGCTTCATAATCTGATGCTTCCTGGGTTGATGGGCATACACACCTAAAGGAAGGACTACTGTCAAACACCTCTGAGAAGTCAAACTAGTTGTTCTGGTTAAGTCAAGCCTCTAAGCACTACTTCACTCACTATCCACAACACATGTTGGTGCCTCAAGGACAATGGGCATTATAAGAAATGCCCTAATAAATCACACTTCCTCCCAGTTTAATACCTTTCCACTACGTGCAATATTCCCTCAGTTCCCAATAAAATATGAGAGTTTTTTTGCCAAAAAAGGAAATAAAATTCAACCCAGGCTGTTGTCATCCTGCTTTGCAGCACAATACAGATTTCAATGGGAGAAGGCTGAACTGTGATTCAAATAGGGGTTTGGGATTATGTTTCAATTCAACTAACAACTGCTACCTAAACTGGTTGCAGGCACTTGGGATCCCATCTGACACCATCAGCACAGAGCCCTGCATGCAGGTGGGTCCTCAGGAAGGTGAAGAACAGTCAGGCTTTCTCTGCCTTATAAAAAACTAGGTGCTGAATAGAACAACTCCTAGTTAGACATGCTGTTTGGAGATACAAGCTTCAGCCTAAGGATGACTGGTCCATGCCCATCCCCTAGACCAGGGGAAGACAGACCTCAAACTCTGAAATAACCCACTGGCCACAACAGTCTCCTGCCCTTCTCTTACCATCTCCATTCTCAAGGACCCTGCCTTTGCCCTCATTGGAACCTCCAAGCCTGGGGTCTCCCTTCCTTCTCTTCCTTTCTGTCTCCATCTGAACCTTCTCTGGCCTGGACTCTGCAGGCAGTGATGTCAACATGATGCCTTCTGGAGTCCATGATCTTTCTCTATCTTAACTCTTCCCATTTCCAGCTGTGCCCATCACTACCTGCCACAGGTAGTCCATCCCTTGGGGCTGTATCCTGACCTTTTGTGCACCTCACATAGTTTTTCCTCACACCCTTTGAAGACTCCTCACTCATTGAGATGCATGAGCTGTGAAAACCCTCAATTTCCTCCCTCCCAGTTTTAAATGCCTCTGCCTCATCACCTTGTTCCACAGGAAGAGATGGATGGGCTTTTTCCAAAGCTGAGACTGACAGCTGGGCTTCGTGGGGACCCAGTCCCCAATTCATTCTCTTTTTTTCATCTTCAGCTTCTTCCTCTCTGCTAGGTCACTTCCCCACTCAAAAGAATACTCAGCTATCCCTCAGCCTAACAAAATATAAATCTGCCCTTCCCTTGACCCCCCAAGGGTGAGCCATAACTGTCTAGGTAAAGAGGAAGCCTCCCCTTCTCTATGCAGAACTCTACGTCAGATTCATAAGCCAGAAGAAATGAAAGGAGCCAAGGGATCTGAATTCCAAAATGGGGACACTGAAGCCCAAGGCCAGTGGAGCTGGGCAAGGGGATAGCCAAAAATGGCAACAAGGACTGCCAACTGCAGAAGAGTGCTCTCTGTATGATCTGAGGCCTTCTGGGATGATGCTTCTTGCCATCCCACACATACCCCTCCACCACATCGGAACCAAAGCAGAGGGCAGGATTTAAGGTCATTTCTCTTCAGGCAGGCTCTATCGAAAGACAGGAAGCCTTGCATTTTAAGTTCAGTCCGTTTTATCATCCATGCCTAATACTCCTGCATCTTGGGTTGATAAAGTCTTGGCATCAGTAAAGAAGCTAGACTACCCAATGGTCTTTAAGGTCATTCCTGCTCTTCCTTGAGTGCTGTGAGCTTATGAGCTGTCTCAGTTGTTTATTAGGGACAGAGCTCTTTTGTTCTCTACATGCACTACTATACTGGCCACTAGAATCTAACCTCTTTACAAAGTCTCCTGATCCTGACCTCTGGGTCCTGGGCCCCATCACAATCCATAACCAGTTACCTGAATTATTGGAATTGCTGTATTTCGCTGAATGTTCTTCACAGTTCTCAACAGCAGATCGTTTTGACTTCTTTAAAAATGGAAGAAGGGGGAGGAAAAGCAATGAATAAATACGATGAAACTGAAAGTCAGAATAAAAAATATTTTCCTACCGCAAAGTTAAACTAGTAACAAACAAGGTCATATTTGGCCTCATAACTTAATACAGCAAAGAAGCCACAAGCCAAAACTAAAGGGGGAAATAAAAACAAGAATGTTGAATTTACTATCTCAGGCCAATCATTTCCCCCAATTATAGTATGCTACAATCAGCCCAGTGAGCCAGGAAACTATATGGTCCATTTCTCTGCTGATATTATGTGGCTCTTTTTTAAAAGCTGCAAACCAGTCATCTGGAAATAATTTTAGCTTTCAAGCAGATATAGCACAAAACCTTCCATTAACTAAATGTGTACCATACACCTAGAATGTTCTTCATATAAGATCAAGAATTCACAGAGGAAACACAGAAAGACAGGCTTACCTTTCGAGCTAAGATCTTTCTCTTTTTCCTTTCCTCCTCAGAGCCATGGTGTGACTGCGCTCTTGTCAGTCTTCGATGCTGGTGAATCTTTAACAGACCACAACCCATCACAAATGTAAGCATATCCTACATTATTTGTATAAAAACTCTTTCTTTGCCCAGCATGTCAGTCCCCTGACTGGGGTTCGGATGTCTGAGAAAAGAGTATGTTGGAGAATACACTTTCCTCACGTCCTTGAGTTCTTTGCTGCCTTTTCTCTTTTACAGAAGACAAGTGTGGCCCCAGGCACCTTTAGAGCATGGCCCATTTGTGTCTTCCACCACTTCCTAGTGTGGCCCTAATCACACAGGATGACCAACCACCCTTTGTGGACATACTTGATTCTCCTGCTGAACTGAGCTCCTGGAGGGTAGGACCATGTAAGGTATTCAGCTCTATGTCCTAGCATCTAGCCTGGACGTGTTTCAGAGCAAGTGTGCAGGAGATGCTTTTGGGATGAGCAATTGGTCAAAAGCCAACCACTGTGAACACCACAGCAGAATCTGCCAAGGCCAGGGACACTAAAAGAACAAAGAGCAATGAGGAACAGAATTAGCAATTTACCTGCTTCTGTTCTTCAATTAGTCTCTTTTCTATACATTCTTTGGCAATTCTCAATGCCTCTTTTAACTTTGTAGGAATCTGAAAGAAAAAGTACATAGCCCATTGAGTAAAATGGCCAGAGTCTCTCAGGCCCTAGTTTCAAAGAAGGAGGGGTTTATCAAGAAGGAGGTCATCTGGAATAAAATCACTTGTGAGCTGTCCGCACAAATCCTACCCCAGATGGTTTTGGTATCCCCAGCACACTTATCTCTGTAGCATTTTTTTTTTTTTCACTTTTATTTTTGTAAAAATATATGTAACAAATGTTCTAGCATTTTAAATAACAATGAAAAAAAAAACAAACTCACTGCCGTTGAGTCTGACTCATAGCGACCCCTCCTTGGGTTGCCAAGGCAGTATCACTACGGAAGTAGATTGCCCAACCTTCCTTCCGAGGAGTGGCTGGTGGGTTTGAACCACCAGCCTTCTGGTTAGCAGTCAGGTGCCTTAGGCACTATGCCCCCAGAGCTATACGTAACATTATAACATAAATAAACATGATATATAAAAATTCAAGTAATTATAATACTTTTATAGCTTCAAATAGTCCCAGGGATTGTCCCTGTGAGAAAAAATTTACTTCCTGAATTTCACAAGATTATGCTGCTTCTGTTGGGAGATAACTCCTGACAGTAGCTTGGTTTGTTTATGAGCTTTTAAAATATGAGAAGTCCAGGCCTAGAAAACACAAACCCAGATCATGTTGAGCTTTTTGATCTTAAATTTTAAATTTAAAAATGTTTTGAAGAGATAAAACAAGGTTCAAAAGTCAGAATGTATAAAAGGTTACCCAGTGAAAAGTCTCTCTTCTAGCTCCTACCCCTGGAGTCACCAGTTTCTTATGCATATTCCCAACAGGCCAATGTATATAAAAGAAATGTATGTTGGTTTTTAAAACCATATTATATTTTAAAATCATACTGTCTCTGGCTTAGAGGAAGAGCTAGCTCACATCATAATTCCTAAATCCTGGGAGCAGGAATCCTGGGGTTGGAGAGAGCCTGTTTATTTACAAGGATGAATATGTTTTCTGAGGAGTTTAAGTGAAGAAAAAGAGGTGAGTTGAAATGTTTTTTCTTTCCTCCTCCAGATCTGAAGATGCTACTACTGTCACAATTCCTCTAACTGGCAAAATAGGACAGAGGAAAGCTTCTCTCTCACTTAGATAATCTTCTAAATTCACCTTATTTTTGTTTTCTGTTACTTTCATCATAATAGATTTTTTTAATACAGAGAGGAAAAAGAGAATTATCCTTCACCCTACCACTCCAAACAACACTGACAGTGAGCACTGATGAGAACTAGGCCCTCAACCAGGAGTTCCCAAAGATTACCTAGTTGTTCAATGACAACTGTGGCCTTTAGAATAGGTATTATTTCCCAATGTTACACACCAAAAAAGTGTACACTCAAAGACTAGGTTCTCCATTAGGGGTGATTGTGGCCCCCAGGTGCCATTTGGCACTGTCCAGGGAGAGAAATTTTTGGTTGTTAAACTTGAGAGGTAGAAGGAATAGAGACTAGTACCAGCATTTAGTGGGTAGAGACCAGGGATGCTGCTGAACTTCCTACAGTACAGAGGACATCCTTTCACTACAAAGATTATCTGGCCCAAAACGTCAAACGCTGAGGTTGAGAAACCCTGCCATAAATAAATGGCTGGTAACCAATGGCTGGAATATAAGAGTAGAATTAGGCATCAACCTGGTACTTTGGACTCCAAAGCCCAAGACACTACACAACACCACTGCTTCCCAGGATATATCCTTTCAGTCTTTTTTCTAGACACAGATATTTTTTACAAACTGTATTTTATATTCATTTTTGTCCCTTAGCCCATAGCATAATAATTGTCCATGCTATTATAAAGTCTGTATAAATTTTATTTTTATTAAATAAGCTGTCAAATAGATCTATTACACACTATTAAACTATTCTCTAATTGTAGATTAGAGTATTACCAACTTTTCCTTACTATAAATATTGTAACTTCTTTTTGGTTAAAAACAAAGCAAAGTTTCAAAGTCAATTTATTTACATCACAAAGAAGAATGATGTGATTTGCCTTACCTTGAACTGGGGCTTTTCAGAAGTGGTTAGTAAAACATCACTGAATAATCTGTAAAGGAATGAAAGAAAGAAAAAAATCTTTCTTAAAACAGGTACACTCTCAGAACAGGATCAAAACAAATTAAGACACCTTTAGTCCTTGAGGAAGGAGCCCTGGTGGCATAGTGGTTAAAGCATTGGCTGCCAACCAAGGTCAGCAGTTCAAACCCATGAGACACTCCACAGGAGAGAAGAGGCAGTTGGCTTCTGTAAAGATTCACAGCCTTGGAAACCCTATGGGGTAGTGCTACTCTGACCTATAGGGGCTCTGAATAGCAAACAACTCGATGGGATAGTAGCAGGTTTGGTTTTGGTTTTAGTCCTTGAGGTCTCCCTGCTGCATAACTCCAGCTCAATCCACCATTTATGTTTATCAACAAATTCAAAGGAGTTTATAGGCCATACAATGTGACCTTAGGGAAATCCCCACTCCCATTTACCTCCTAAGTATTACAAGGGGCAAGCTGTACTGGAAGTTATTTTCCTACCATGGGCAACAGTGCTCTAATTCTATGTAGTATTTAATTAATAGTTAGGAAAAACATTACTTTTACAAATAATGTATAGAGTAGATATTTCTAAACAGAATAACTGGTTTTTCTTTTCTTTTTCTGCCTCAGAGGAGAATAAGATTTATTCTAGAACTCACTAGAATAAAAATGTTCAAGTAAGTGGAAAGGAATTGTCTTGATTTTAATCTAACAAGTAAATAATTTTCTTGTAAGAAAAGTGTTTCTCATGCTCTCTTAAAAAAATAGCAACTTTTAGGTCACATGATTTCTCTCCTCAAACATATGTTATTATAAAAAATAGCATGAGTAATTCTTAAATTCTTTGGATAAAACAAAGAATTTAACTGGTTGCAGGGCAGTGCCCAAATGGCTATAAATGAGTCCTTTCTTGTACATTTCACTTTTTTGAAAAACAGGAAATGTGTCACAATTAGAAATGGCAGTGTTATTTTTCTCCCACAGTACTCTTCTGAATGGCTTTGGAGGTGGGGACATAACTTCCACCCCCCCTTCCCAGACCACATGTCCATTTACTTCCAGAAAACAAACTTAAATTGAACATAGTTCAATCTCTTCAAATGCTCCTCTCATGGCCGGCAGCCCATAAAGTAGAAAGACTTACGTGAAGAAAAAATATTTGAAGGAGGAAAATGCCAGAGCTTCGAAGTGGGGGCTACAAATGCAAACTCAAATAAATCATCATGTGTACAGGCTGTTCCCTAACTACAAATAATTCTGTTCCAAAAGTTTGTGTAGGTTTTGTTTTCCCCCTAATTGGATGTATTTTCCCATATTTACATTGTTATTAATGGTGGCTGTTTCAGAGGCCAATGCTCTCGTGGCTGCTGAGCATTAGAATGTCACATCCTTAGGGCAGGAGCTTGGTCTGCTCTGCTCATCACAGCATCCCCATGACCTAGAACAGCCTATACTATAGTTATTGTTGTGTGCAGTTGAGTTGGTTCTGACTCATAATGACCCTATATGACAGCAGAACTGCCTCATAGTTTCCTAGGCTGAAATTTTCATGGGAGCAGATTACCAGGTCTTTCTCCCTCAGAGCAGCTGGTGGGTTTAAACCACTGACTATCTGGTTAGCAGCTGAGTGTTTAACCATACTACAGGAGGTCCTCTGTAAATACTTGTTGAAAGAATGAATAGGAACCTAGAGTTATCTCTACCTCTTCTGAACTGTAGCTGCATGCACTTACAGTGTTCCCTGCCTTGTTTTCCCACATTATTGTTTGCTGAGTATATCTATCATATAGTAAGCTAGGACAGACAAAGCACCTAGTATATTGCATGGCAACAGGGCAGGTTCTCAACAAATGTTCATCCCGTTTCTCACCTTCCCCTTTTCTATCTCCGCCTTCTTGAAGGCAAGGTGCAGGCCCCTGAAAACAATGTCAGTATGCCACATAGCAGGTGCTCAATGAATATACGCTGAATCAATATTGTTGTTGTTGTTGTTATGTGCCGTCGAGTCAAACCCGACTCATAGCGACCCCTCCTTGGGTTTCCGAGGCAGTATCACTACGGAAGTAGGACTGCCCAACCTTCCTTCCGAGGAGTGGCTCATGGGTTTGAACCGCCAGCCTTCTGGTTAGCAGTCAAGTGCTTTAGCCACTATGCTACCAGAGCTCCTGAATCAATATTACTCATAACTAATATTTAATAAGCACTTATTAAGTATCTGGTGTTATACCAGAGTCACATTAAGTCCTACTAGCAACCTTTGAGGTGAGCAGTATTATTGTCTCCATTTTACAGTTGAGGAAATTCAGCTTCCAGACATTAAGTAACTTGCCCAAAGTCACCCAGGTAGAGGTGCCTACCCCTAGGTCTGTCCAACCTCCTCTTAACCACTCTGCTGCATGAAGGAATAGAAAATGTACCTAAAGGAAAGGTCCAAAGCACTATTTAAACTCTGTTTGAAACAGGACATCTTCTGAGTGCTAAGCCCCTAGCACAGTGCTAGGCGTGCATTAAACGTTTAATAAACGTGACCCAATGAATAACTGAACAAACAAAAGCATGGGAGCCCAGAGACGAGATACATTGCCCTTCTTCTGAAAGGCAGACCCCTCCAAGGTCTGCCGACTTGTGAACTCTCCACAGCTGGGGCCTTATGCTGAAGCAGGATCCAAAAGAGAGATGCTTGGGAGGACCCCCCTTAGGAATTTCCTAAACTGGGTCTGAGCATTTGCACACACACGTGTGCACACGTGCACACACACACTCAAACACACATACACTAATAGTATTGACGGAGGAAAGATACATATGAAATAACATTCACGTTAAAGGCAAGTAATCAGACTAAGGTAGCAGAGACAAGACAAGGAAAGGGTCATGAAGTCATGCTGCAAGTGACTGTCAGCATGCAGGTCACTTAGACACTGCGAGGACTGCAATCTACTATAATGCCATGCATGGGCATGGCGGCTCAGTCTTTAACATAGTTATCACGATCCCAAACAAGGCACAGGATTGACTTACGGCATCTGTAAGAGCCGGGAGACGGTAGGCATGCCATTTTTACAGGCTTCACAAGACAGCGTGGACTCCAACACGGCCACTTGAAATGAACAGATACACATTTTAGTTCCACGGAACAAGTTGGCAAATCCACTCGGTGATGAAAAGTTTGACACCACTTTGCAACAACTGTCTGCAGGCTGATCAGGACAGTGTCAAAACTCTTCACACACAGACAGATGGCATACATGGGGATGGGGAACGTTGGCAACATTGATGTTACCGGATGACTCAAAATAAATGGTTCAGAAACCACATGGTGATGGAAAGCTAAATTACATTTTAAGAATAATTGGAGGGTAGATTCAAGGTATCATTCATAAAACTGTTTGCTCTCTTAAAAGAGAAGTAAACACTACATAAAGCAAAATTCTAAACCTAAAAGACATTTTGATGCTTGTCTGCTTTTAATCAAAACCAGCACACAAAATGCCAATGGTGATATGTCATCATCCAACACCTTGCATGCTATAAACAAAAGCAGTTGGATTTTTCTACCCATAGGTCACCGTTCAGTTTCAGCTGTTCAAACTCAACACAAAGCGCTTTCAGGACCTGTTCTCTTGATTTCATTTGACCACAAAACTAACGTTTGATGAAGGGCTGACTCCTATACTCGAAGGCATAGTGGTCCAAAAGCCACCCTCCCCTCCCCTCTCTCTGCTCTAGCTGTAGGTTCTAACTGAGCTGGCTGTGGATGGGATAGAAAGAACCCTGGATGTGTCCACACCAGTTCCTCCATACCTCCTTCCTCATGGTGCCATGTACCTGTCCTCTGGTTCTCAGGTACAGCCCTCTCAGGTAATACTGACAAAGCTCTTAGATTCAATCTCCCTGGGTGTCTTATATTCCTGTCTGTCTCTCCTACCACTGGGTCTGCAAAGCTCTTATCTGCCTGGCTTCTGGCCCATGGCTCCCTTGTTCCTTGCAAACTCCACTCCAGCTCTGGTCTGACTCCTGACTCCTGCCTGCTTCTGCACCCCAAACCTGTCCTTAGACTCATGCTGGCCGTTCTTCTCCTGATATCCTCTGCTTCTAAACTTTTACAAAAAGTTCCCTGAGGTGTCAGATAGCCTCACAAATGGGAAAGCCATGTGAATTTTCACTTTAGTGTATTTAAGTAAATTACTCCAATCTGGCATACTTTTACATTGGAGAAGAATGTCTAGTGGTGAGGGATGACAACATCTTCTGGTCTTTCCTAGACTCTGCAAAGTAGTGAGTAGTTCTGCAGATTAGTGAGGCCCAGAAGATGGCTCCAAACCTCATACTGACCCACAGCCATGGATGGTGCAGGAGGGAAGGAATCTACAGGAATTGAGTCTGGTGGTCGTCCATAGGTCATTTCATACAGTAAGTGGCCAAAGCAGTGAACATCCACACTTTCCAATGTCTGTGGAAGAAAACAGAGCAGTGGCATGTTCACTTTTCTGTTTGGTTTTATGAACCCCAATGCTCCAGCCCCAGGCTTCCAGTGAGAAACAGGGCCCAAGAGCAAACACACTCCTGAATGATACAAAGCCTTTTGTAAAAGCTTACAAGGCATTGCTCTGACCCAAGGACTGGGTTATCTCCATGGTTTTTCAATCAGTGACTCTATTCCCTCCCTGCCCCACCTGCCATTTCAACTCAGCCTCTTTGAGATACAGCATTACTCAGTGGGAGAACCAAGGCCAGCAGGTCTGACCTACCCAACGGTACCTTTCCCTGCTTAGTGCTTATTTCCCACATGGCAGATCATAGGTCCTGCCATGGGGACAACTTATAACTAAAAATCAACCTACTGCCTCGTTACTGTCAGAAACTTACATTGATTTTCCTGAATTGTGAGAAGTAGGATCGGTAGAAGGAAGGAAGGCCCAATAAGGAATTCTCAAGGTCTAGCAACCGGCAAGTGTCACCATCTAGCATAATATTGGAGGCATGAAGATGTCCATAAGGGAATCCCTTGTCATGTAGAAACTTTAGTACCTAAACAACCAGAGACAAATAACTGTAAGCCAGTCCAAATACAAAATGTCTATAGGTTACACTCCCCTACTCTAAAACCTTTCAGATATAACACAAGTTAAACTTCCCTTTTTAAGTCAATGTATTTTGAAACAAAAGCAAACACGTCACTGGGGACATTCCAAGAAAAATGCCATCTCTATCCATTTCTTTGGAATAGAGCGTGATACTGGACACCTTCCAGTTGTGAGATACAACACCTACCTCTCTTAATTCCTAACAATAGAGTAGCAGCCTTGAGTCAGCTTAGGGTTAATAGCTTTGATGCCAAAAGGTTCTGCTTTAAATACTTTCTGATCCTAACAGGCCAAGTCTCTTCAGGACAAAGTGTTGATGCTCCCAGACTGATACGTAAACGCTCATGTCAGTGCTTCAGGCAGTTATTAAAGGAAAGGGACTGAGTTGAAAATATCTCTAGTTCAATCTCTCCTCCGACCTGTTTATTAGTAGAAATATAAATTCAAATAAAACACCAAACCCACTGCTACTGAGTCAATTCTGACTCACAGGGACCCTATAAGACAGAGTAGAACTATTCCATTGGGCTTTATAATCTTTACAAAAACAGACTTCTGTATCTTTCTCCCACAGAGTGGCTGGTGGTTTCAAACTGCCAACCTTTCAGTTAGCAGATGAGTGCTTAACCAGTGTGCCACCAGGGCTCCTTCACTCAGTCACAGAGGTGCCTATTTACAGCCCTGCAAAGACATAGTGAGCCAGCCCAGTGATAGCCAAAGGGGCTACCCACGGCAATTTAATAAGGACTGGAAGAAGATACTACAACTTCTGTTGCTAGTTTTTTGGGTTTTATGAAATCTCTTTCTTTCTTAGCTTCAATTTATAATGTACAAAATGTACCAGTGGTAGTACATGTAGATAACTTATAAACAGCTAAATATATATAAGATTAGAGGGATATGCTTAAATTGTTTATTTTTTTTGCTGAATTTTATTTATTTTTTGTTGTTGAGAATATACTCAGCAAAACTTAAACTGTTTTCTAGCAATGGGGTAGCACAATCTAAGAAGCCTGGAGAATAACTGGCCTAAAGGTAATGTGGAAAAGGCTATAGACTTTTCACTACTAGTTACACTGGTAGCGTAGCGCCTAAGGCACTTGACTGCTAACCAGAAGGCTGACGGTTCAAACCTACCAGCCACTCCTCGGAAGGAAGATGGGGCAATCTACTTCCATAGTGATACTGCCTCGGAAACCCAAGGAGGGGTTGCTATAAGTCAGGTCTGACTCGACAGCACGTAACAACAACAACAACAAGGGAGCCATATATGACATATATGACATAACACAATCAAGAATCATGGCACAAAGACAAAGATCAACCAAGGATAACACAAAAATTGTACCCACACAGTAAAGCTCTTAAGTCAGATACTAAAGCTTTGGAACTTTGTAGATTAAATTCCTGCCTTAGTCTCAAGTATTGCTTTTTTGGGGGATAACACATGATAATGCTATTGGTTTAGGAGCAATCAGACAACTTAAACTATTCTGGATATTGCTTGAGAACTTTCCTAAAAGAATATTGTAATGCTGGGTGATATTCTGACACGATTAAAAAAAACCAAAAAAACAGTATCTCTTACCTCTAATATTTGCCGCCCATACATTTTTATTTGCTGGAGTTCAAGGCCCTGAATTTTCTTAGGGTTGCAGTACTTCTTTAGGAATGGGTCTTTTGGTTTTGCCTTTGGAAAAGAATGAATAGTATATACAAAAGCAGCAGAGGGCCGAACCCTGCACTTGGGCTGCCCAGACAACTAGGACTCTAGAAAGACCAGGAGGTGCAAAAGATGGCCAGACTACAGAATGTGGTTTTTTTGTTGTTTTGTTTTCAAAAATTTTATTACAATTTGGGTGAAAGGTTACAGAGCAAATATATTTTCCATACAGCAGTTCACACTTTGTCTCATAACACTGACTGCAATTTCCCACAATGCAATAGCTCTCTTCTCACTTCCTCTCTATAATTACCTCTTCCTTATGTCCTTCCCTCCCATGCACTCCTGCCCCACAAGGTGTCTCCCTGTGCATACACAGCCCTTCTATTCTCCCATGATTGATCTCTGTAAAGAGTGTATCTGTTCATATGCCTGTCTTTTGTTTGGCTGGGAGCTACAGGAGTAAGTTCAATTCCAGACCTGAAAGGCAGCTAGGGGCCATAGTCTCAGAGGTCCCACCAGGCTCTAGCAGACCAGCAAACCTGGTCCTTTTTTTTTTTTTTTAATGATTTTGAGTTTTGTTCCACACTGTTCTCCCACTCTATCCAGGATCTCCTACAGAGATCCCCCTCCGAGTGGTTGACAGTGGAAGCACCATCTTCTGGTCTCATAGTCATATACGCTGATGATCACATGGTGTACCAGTCCCTTGTACTAATTGTTCCCATGTGTCTTTGGTTTTCTTCATTCTTTTCTGTTCTGGATGAGGAAAGACCCATTGTTGCATTCAGGTGGCCACTTGCAACATTTTAAGATCCCAGTTACCACTTGCCAAAGTAGGATGTAGAACAATGTTTCTGTGTAGTATGTTATGCCAACTGAGCTTGATGTCCTCTGCAACCATGGTCCTGAACCAGGATGTGTGTTTTTACAACACAATGGTCTGTGAAGTTGATAGAAAGGCACTAACCTGAGTTCTGTCCCTTCTCTAGTCTAGGAAGATGTGTCTGGTTGTGACTTTAGTAGACTCCAAAATTTTGCTTACTATTAGAATTCTTCATTATTGCTTTACTAAGTGGAGGATACAAACATAAAACTGACCTAAACGAGCAGCCTACAATGTAATGGCCTTGGTCATTAAATGTTCAACCTTCCCTCATGTGAGGAAAAAGAATATTCTTTAACCAAAATGGATAGTCTCTATTGCTAAAATCAAAATAAATTCTAGGCTTCTCAGGGCCTAACTTCTGGAACTTTAGAGATCAAACATCAATAATGGGTTGTAAAGGGATTTCAGAACTTCATTATGACCATGAACTTGCACCACAAATACCTTGTAGATCAGGTCCTTCAAAGTTCCTTTTTCATTAAACATCCTAATTAACAATGCTGAGGATTCATTAGCCGTGGCAAAGGTAACACGATAGATATAAGGGTGCTGCCAAAACAAAAAGAAAATTCACATTTATTGATATCAGCATTTAGGTCCTTTTTTTTGAAGGATAACTTTTATTTTTATGTACAGAAAAAGCTGTGTACATTATCTAAGTCCTTTTAGATCCAGGGTCTGATTATGCAGAGTCAAGCACCACCTTTTTAGTTTAGTTGTATACAACAGTGCTGATATCCCCGGAACACATGACATTTTCAAGTTACTGGATGATAAGGCAAGGAACATGAATTATACTGACATAAAGACGTGGATAATTCATATGGTGAGCTCTATCTGCTTTGGTGTGTGTATTCTCAGAGTCCAGGCCAAAGTATGGTAGAAGAGAGGGTAAACTGAGTTTCTGGAATAATAGTTTTAATATTCTACCTCTGTAAGCTGGTAAGTAATACAGACAAATCTCAGACAGCCAAGTGGGGATGAGGGTAAATGTGTCTTCACTCACAGCTTTGCCTAACATTACACATTGCTGTCGGGGGCCAGGTTAGGGAGCATGATATCCAGAAAACAAGCAAAAGCAGCATCTTTTGGCATCTCAGCCTTTTCCAAAGCAGCTAGCATGAATCTTCCTGCCTTTCTACATGAGTCTGAAACATGATGATTCACAGCATCTTCCTGAGGAGAACATCGATGTTGACTAAGTGAGAGGGTGGGGAAGAAGAAAAATTATTTAATGACTGAGAGGAAAGTTTTCATATGACCTGGAATTTTGGTTACATGAACAACTGCCTACAGACATATTACAATGTCCATTTGCTCAAAGGGGTATCATGAAAACTTAAATCCATGGGAGCTGCTGTGCAGGGGTCTGGGAGAGCAGGTAGAAGGCTATGCCTGGAAAAGATAGTAATTGATCACGACATTTCTTCTGATCATCACCGCAACATGGCTGCTGCTGATTTTTGTTAACAGTTTTATTGAGATAAAATTCACATACTATTAGAATTCACCTATTTAAAGTGTAAAATTTAATGGCTTTCAGTATTTCACAGAGCTGTACAACCATTATGCAATTTTAGAACATTTTCATCACCCCCAAAAGAAACCTAATGAATAGAATAAAAATCCTTGAGTCTGTACTTATATCACTTAATTAATAATTAAAAGGGAAGAAGGAGAACCTCTTCCTTACAGTAAAAATAATAAAAAACTAATAAATATAAAAGGAATGATACAAAATCTCAATGAATGCTACAACTAGTAGGTCTGATGAGGAATGGAATATTTATATCGTTTCAAAATATATCCTCATAAATGATTTATTACTTAATCCTAAGCATTTATCTTAAGAAAATAATTAAGGATGGGTACAGATCTTTGGCTAAAGAATGTTCACTATAGCTTTCTTTTTTTTCTTTTTTTAACAAGAACAGAAACTTGGAAGCTATCCAAATATCTAATAGACGATCAGTTGAGTAAACTGAGATATAGCTAAATGATAATTCTATGTAACCAACAAAAAATGATATTGTAGTATATTTATTGACAATATGCTCAAGGTATATCTTAATGGAAAAAAAAATCTGGTTTGAAAACAACCGATACATAATGTAACTTCTCCAAAAAACATGTATCACAAAAATTCTGTTGTTGTTATGTGCCATCGAGTCGGCCCCGACTCATAGCAACCCCTCCTTGGGTTGCTGAGGCAGTATCACTATGGAAGTAGATTGCCCAGCCTTCCTAGAAAAGTAACAACTGAACATCTTGGGTTATACTTCTGATTGGTGGTATTACAGATGAGTTTTATTTTCTTATTTTTGCTTATCTATGTTTCCTGAATTTTCTGCAATTAATATACACTACTTGCATATGACACAAGGAGCACTGGTGGCATAACAATTAAGTGCTTGGCTGCTAACCAAAAAGTTGTTGGTTCAAACTCACCAGTTGCTCTGTGGGAGAAAGATGAGGCAATCTGCTTTCATAAAGATTTACAGCCTTGGAAACCCTTTGCAGCAGTCCTACTATGTCCTATCAGGCCACTATGAGTCAGAATTTGACTCAACGGCAATGGGTTTCGGGGACTTGGATGTTTCACCTTTTTTTTTTTTTTTTTTGGTAAACCTCAGCTATTAAAAGAAATTTAGAATTGGGTGCTGACAGCCTGCTTTACACAACCAACCAAACTCAAAGACCAAAGCATTTCTTTGGTCACGTATCATACCTCATTAAAAACTTGATTTTGCTAGATTGACAAATTCTGCCTTCACAAATGATTTGCCAATACAAGCGGACATGTCAGCGTAAGGATGCTCAGTCCCTCAGTGTCTCACCCTAGGCCCCCTCATCCTCACGCTACAGACCATATATAAATGACATCAATGCTAACTCAATTTACTAGTCAGATTAGTTTTCTCGTCAAGACATTCTGCATATATTTTGAAACATATTCATGTGTTTTTTCTTTTTTTTTCCATTGAAGGGTTTGTATGAGAATTGAGCATCAGCGTAAGTAATGCTAAACACTCCTAAGTCAATCAGTTAGTCTATGCGATGGTAACTCAGACAGCAAAATGGCTATTTTGCCTTTCTCTCATCCAATTCATCTAAATCCTTATTCGTTCTGTTTTCTTGGGCTAGAAACAGATCTTTTGAGTCCACTTATCTAAACATCCTCCCCAAGAAAAAAAGGCTTAGAGAAATGGCTGCTTTCCAACTCTGATTTGCTTCAAATGCAAAGGCTATGTTTAAATTCTCACATATTTCATGGGTTGTCCAGATACCATGAATATTACAGCTTCATATCTACGGGAACCAAGGTCAGATTACCCAGTAACGAAGGCAAGTACAAGCTTACTTGTGCTTACTTACTAATCGGTAGTGAACAATTTCACATTTTTTCACCACATCAAAGATTTTGCTTCTAGGTGTGGCGGGCATCTGTCTCTCTCTTAATCCTACTGCATCTACAGAATCACCTACAAATTCCTACAGAATCAAAGCCTCTTCAAATTTACACACCCTAACAGAAAAAGCTCTGGTAGCATAGTGGATGAGACATTTGGCTGTTAACCAGAAAGTTAGCAGTTCAAACCCACCAGCCACTCCATGGAAGGAAGATGGGGCAATCTACTTCTGTAAAGATCTACAGCCTTGGAAACCCAATGCAGGTCGCTTTGAGTCAGAATCAGCTGGATGGCAGTGGGTTGGGTTTAGTTAACAGACACAGAGTACCCAATAAGAAGGTAAACATGGGCTTACTTGTGCTTACTTACTAATCTGTAGTGAACAATTTTACATAGGCTTCACCACATCAACCCATGTGAAATTGTTCATTAAGAGTATTGGGCAATCTGCCCTTGATGGGAACAGCCCCTCACAATTTCAGTCTGAGCTGAAATCTACTGTTCTGCTCTACTCTCTTGAGTCTACAAAGCATATCCAGCTCTTCTAACCATGTTCACCTACAAGAAAAGACTGTGACTCTGAGATGACAATCACATCAGCACCAAGGTTAACAGAAAGACTTGTACTTACCAGACAGGAAGGAAGTAGCTTGATTAAACACTGAAAATCTTTATCTGACAGGTACTTGTCTGGGCCAAGGTCAGCCTGAAAATGGGAGGAAATATCAGGTTTCCACCTTGATCATCAAAACAAAAATTCCCTATAAGTCTTTCCCTTTCATTTTATTTGTTGAAATATATGACTGTAAACCAAAGATGGAAATCACATCTCTCTTGCTGCCTTGAGTCCTTTCTGAAGAGGTAATGTGTAAACATATAAATACCAGGAGTCAACTATAATTTTATCTACTTCTATTAATCAAATGTATCACTAGAACTTCCAATGTGAAAGACATAAAATAATGTTCAAGTATTTTCTTTGGAGAAAAGCTCCAAAACCTTAAAGAGGTTCCAGAGAACTATTTTCAGCTATTTCTACTTTTTCCCCAAAATGTTTACTAGTTGATCAAATTTAATATCAGTATACCCAAATGCTTAAGCAAAGTAACTTTTTTAAAAATGATTCTCCTTTGATACAGAACTGAGGAGGCCCTTATAAAATCACTTCAGATTTGAGAGCACAATAAAATTTCATAGCTCTCTTGTGAAATTTGCTTTCATTAACCCATCTAAAGTCCCTGAAATGACGCTGAAGCAAAAAAAAAAACTATCTTACCCAGCTTAACACTAGCCATTCCTTTGGCTGATTTTTAATCTTCATCAAGAAATACTTTTTTCTTATCCTCCAACCTGCCATAAAACAGAAGCATGTTTATGGCTACATAATTTTTGTACTAACTGATATAAATTTCATAGACTAAGTAATTAATAAAAATATAAGTTTGGCAATATTATCCACAGCTATATAAGGCAACAGTAGAACAAGCACTAGATAATGTTAGCACAATACAGGCTGCACAAAAAGCAGTATAAAAAACAAATTATTCTATTTAGGAAACAGCACTTTAACATATCTTCAGTTTACATTTAGTGAAACAGAGAAAGGAGGAATGAATGATGGCTCTGAAAGTATGTTACTACCATTCAAAACCTCTGATGGGGCTTTAACCAAGCTTCATTAAGTATTTACAGAGTAGCTAAAATCTGTTAGTACCTACTAATCATTAAATAACAACAATACAATTGTTATGGAATTCAGATGGGATCAAAGTGACTACCAGGACATCCTTTGTTGATGATAGCAGAAATCAAAAGTTAAGAACTGTATTTTCAAGTAACAGAGAAACAAAAAGAAAAAGAACTCATCTTCACTGAAGAGCTTTCTTGGGATACTTAGAAGAAAGCATGCCTAAGAATCCAGTTCTGTGATTTGTCTGTTTTTAACAGAGTAGGCATGCCAGTTTCTCACCTATGTCTTTCAATGGTTCTACCACCTCCCACTTTGGTTCTGACCGGAAGAACATGGAAACCTGTTGTAAGGCGATCTCTGCAAAGACATTGTACAAACTCATTAGGCAGACACATCAGGAAGGTGTAGGCTCAAGACAGTATTCTTGCAAATGAAATTCTATGATCCTCTTCTTAATACTTAGCTACTAATAATCTGGGGAGAAGGTTTGATTGGAAGACCTAAAATATGTCAACAAGCTGGCCTAAAGCAAGAATTCAATATTTGCACCAGATCACAACCTAAGCACAAGATTCCAAATTTGTTTTAATGTCAGCTTAGGATGGCATTTTAATGTTGCTCCAAGTGATATTTAACCCATTTTCATTCCTCATGGAATTATAGCTTTCACCAACAAACAAGCGTTTAGCCTTAAATATATATCAGAAATAAAAAACTACATCTCCAAATAACATCTCCAAATGTAAAAAAAAACATCTCCATACAGCAACAACAAGGTTCTATTGTGGGAAGTCATTAAATGCCTGTTTACTAGGGAAAAAAAAAAACCTCATCCTTTTTTTGTGTTCTTTTATCATGAGAATGTTTCCTCCTTTTAAGACAATCAGAAGAGGAAGTTTGTTAAAGTTCAATGCATTAAGAAATTATCAAAGTAGCTATACTTTTACATTTCCTGCAAAAAGCAGCATCTATAATTTGCCATTTCCCCTCAACACAGTAAGTAAATGAAACCACTTCAGATTCCTAAAAGCAAATGGCAGTCCTCCAGATTCACAGTGGAATTTCACCTCAGCCTAGCATTAATTACATTCCAGGCAGACTGGTGAGGTATGTGGGATACAGCAGAAATGCTCTCTATATGTCAAAATGACATACGTGGTGAAGTGGAGGGTCAATGAAGAAGGGGAAGGCCCTCAACGAGATAGATTGACACAGTGGCTACAACAATGGCTTCAGGTATACCAGGGGTCATGAAGCTGGCACAGGACCAGGCAGTGTTTCGTTCTGCTGTACATAGGGTTACTATGAGTCAGAAATGACTTGATGGCACCTAACAACCACAACAACTATGTATCATACCATGTTTGGTAAAGTAGAGGGTAAGCAAAACAGAGGAAGACCCTCAACAAGATGGAAATGACACAGTGGCTGCAACGATGGATTCAAATATAGAAAGGATTGTAGCGATTATGCAGGACTGGGCAGTGTTTCATTCTGTTGTTCATGGGGTTGCTATGAGTCAGAGCCAACTTAATGGCACCTAACAGCAACAACTATGTACCATACATATATCTCAGGTATAGGGGAAATAGCTGTGAACAAATGGAATATGCTACTGATAAAGTAAAAACTGGAAAATACCTTTAAAAGAAAAAAAAAAGAAACACCTTAGAGGTCAAGGAATTGGAGAAAGCACATTTTCTTTCCACTGAACTACGATTTTGTTGTTGTCAAATAAACCGTATGACTACCATCCTTCCAACATTAATCCTCTCTCTCCCCAGATTCAAACAACACATTTCAACCTTAATCATCAATTTCTCTATTCAGAAGTCCTCACTGGCTCTCCATTTCCTTACCAAATCAAGACCAAGCTTCTAAACCTAGTGTCCAACTTCCCTCTGGCTGAATTCTAACTTTCTGGCTTTATTTCCCACAGTGTATGGTGTTTCACACTCTCTTTGCTCTAAGATTGGTGTCCTACGGTTCCAGAAGACTGACTTGCCCCTCCTCAGCATTTTCCATTCTATCCTTCAAGGCCCAGCCCAAATGCTATCTGCTCCAGGTAGCCTCTGCTGTTCCCAGAGCCACCCTCCCTTCCCTCCTCTGTATACTCCAGTGCTATATCTGCCCTTCTTTTATGAGCCACCCACGATCTGTCCTGTATTAGGGTTATTCATATATTGGTTTTCTCTCCTCCACTGAACTGTGAACTCTGGCTGGAAGGATATATCTCAATCTGGGTAAAGCCACAGCCATATGGAACTATTACTCTCTCTTTAGGCTGTTCTGCCTAGAGCTCTGGCCTGTGCTACTTGCCCTGGTTAACTCCTACTCACCCCTCAGACCTCAGTGTAGATATTACCTCCTCTGGGCAGCCTTCTTCCATCTTCAGATTTGGACTATCTACTTGCCCACCCCCACTCCCAAGGTACTGCCCCATATTTACCTGCCTGAGACTTCACCTGTCAGTATCCCAGTATAAGTGCTTTGGGGTAGGGGACCTTACCTTCCTCACTGCTGTATTAATATCACCTGGCACATAGCTGGTGGTCAATACATATTTGATGAAGCAAGAAGGAAGGGATCAATACATGCTGAATGGATACTGAATCTCTCCTACCAGAATATGAAATCCCTGAAAAGGGAGGTACTCTGACCTCTGCTTCTTTAGCACTGACACATGCAAGAAAAGTGCATACTCACTGAATACTTGATAAACAAGCACAAGACAGGAAATGCAGAGAAGGTGTCCAGTGCATCCTATGGTTCCCACTAAGGTCAGGCTCCAAATGTACCAGGTACCTCCACTGTGTGCAGCCCTTTAACTTCTAGATCCCAACTCAAAGGTTGCCTCTTCCAGTCCTGCAACTATAGTTCCTTCAAGGCAGACCCTAATCTATCACAGCCCAAAGGCCAACTGGGCCTCCAACCTCTCTCAAACATCTTGCTCTCGTTTGAATATAAACTTTTCCCCAAGCTCCAAACCCTCTTCTTTGATCCTGGAACCCATTACTTGACTACCTAGTCATGGGATTTCTGGGACTTTAGGACTAGAAGGGAGTTTCAGCACTCCTGGTCCATTCCCCATTCTCCTACTGCTTATTTTACAGGTTAAGACCCTGAGGCTGAGACAGAGGAAATGCTGTTAACGACAAAGCTGGGACAGGATCCAGGCCTTATGTCTGGTCCAAATAACTTCTGTGCGGACATTAAAAACCCCTTACTCTGAGTGCTTTGTTAATAAGGATTAAAAAGGTGGTTTTTGTGTGTGTTTCACAACACAAACATCTCTAACTAGGAGATGCCTGTTTTCCTGTATAATAGCTGGCCTGCAATTTCTAATTCAAATGAATCAATCTTAGAAGAAACACAACCAGAATTATCCTTAGGAGTAAAGATAATGAGACTTTGGCTCCTTTATTTTGGACATATCATCAGAAAAGACCAATTGCAAGTAAGATGGCCCAAGATGGTGGCTTAGTCAGATACACTATGCTGTTCCTCTATAGCAAAGACCCAAGAAATCAAGTGAAACAGATAAAGATGAAAATCCTGGAACCAGTGCATCAAATGGAAGGATAAAGAATTAGATTGAATACCAACTTAAAGAAGTAACTGAACACAAACAGTGAACAAGAAGAGATACAGGTCAGAGGTGCCCTGCCAGTCAGCCTGGTATAGCGTGGGCATCTTAACACAAAGCCAGCAGTGGGATCTCAGGCGTGGAGCATAGGAAGTCAACTTCATGGAATTCCCAGGAGAAGAGAAATTGTGCAGACATACCCAGAGTGAAGGAAGGTGACAGGCTATGAACTGGATATAAGGAAGGCAAGTACATGAAGAAGGGTAAGAACTCCAAGGATTCTGGCATCCATAAAGCAGGGAGGGAGGGATCCAGAGATAGAACTACTCACCAGCAATGGTTTCTGACCATCTGGGTGGGTGGTACACACAGAGTTAAAGATCAGTAGAGTGTCAGCAGGGAGTCACCCACCTAACCAGACTCCAGGCAGCACCCGTAACCCTTGCACTTGGGACCAGATCTCAACTGCTACTGCAGCCAAAGGGAAGTGCACAGGCACCCATGCCCAGTGACCAGTGTCTCCCCCTACCTCCTAGTGATTAGCAACACAAATCTCCCTCGCCTCTTTCCTCTTGTCTGCCCAGACAACATGATACAAGGCTCCAAACGAACATAATGAATCAATTCTTTAATACATCAAATAACACCCTAATGCCTCAGAGACAGCAGACAATGACAAATCATATGAACAAACAGGATAAGACAGCTTAAACAAGTAGGCTAAATAAATGAGAAGAAAACTTTGCAGAGAAAGAAACAATACTAGAACTGCCTGAGAAAGAATTCAAAACATTTATATTTAGGATCCTCAGAGTGTGATATCAGTGATATTGTTTGATAATTTCCACATTGTGTGGGATCACCTTTCTTTGGAATGGGTACAAATATGAATCTCTTCCAGTCAGTTGGCCAGGTAGCTGTCTTCCAAATCTCTTGGCATAACCAAGTGAGTGCTTCCAGCTGGGCATCTGTTTGTTGAAACATTTCAATGGGTATTCCGTCAATTGTTGGAGCCTTCTTCTTCAACAGTTCCCTCAGTGCAGCTTCGACTTCTTTCTTCAGTACCATTGGTTCTTGATCATATAACACCTCCTGAAATGGATGAAGATTGACCAGGTCTTTTTGGTACAGTGACTCTGTGTATTCCTTCCATCTTCTTTTGATGCTTCTTGCATCATTCAGCATTTTGCCCATAGAATCTTTCAATATTGCAACTTGAGGCTTAAATTTTTTCCTCAGTTCTTTCAGCTTGAGAAATGCCAAGGGTGTTCTTCCCTTTTGGTTTTCTAACTCCAGGTCTTTGCACATTTCATTATAGTAATTGGCTTTGTCTGCTCAAGCTGCTCTTTGAAATCTGTTCAGCTCTTTTATCTTGTCATTTCTTCCATTTGCTTTAGCTACTCTCCACTCAAGAGCAAGTGTCAGAGTCTCTTCTGACATCCATTTTGGTCTTTTCTTCCTTTCTCATCTTTTTAATGACCTTTTGCTTTCTTCATGGATGATGTTCTTGATGTCATTCCACAATTCTTCTGGTTTTCGGTCACTGGTGTTCAATGCATCAAATCTGTTTTTTAGATGGTCTCTAAATTCAGGAGGGATATATTCAAGGTCATATTTTGGCTCTCCTGGACTTGTTTTCATTGTCTTCAACTTCAAGTTGAACTTGCATATGAGCAGTTGATGGTCTGTTCCACAATCAGCTCCTAGCCTTGTTTTGGCTAAAGATATTGAGCGTCTTTCCATTGCCTCTTGCCACAGATGTAGTCAATCTGATTCCTGTGGACTCCATCTAGTGAAGTCCACGTCTGGCTGCCGTTTGTATTGCTGATAAAAGGTATTTGGAATGAACAAGTCATTGGTCTTGCCGAATTCTATCATGCAATCTCTAGCATTATTTCTATCACCAAGGCCAAATTTTCGAACTACCGGTGATTCTTTGTTTCCAGCTTTCATATTCCAGTCACCAGTGATAAATCAACACATGTTGATTCCATGTTCGGTCAATTTCAGACTGCAGAAATTGAGCAAAATCTTCAATTTCCTCATTTTTGGCTTTGGTGGTTGGTGCATAAATTTGTATAATAGTCATATTAACTGGTCTTCCTTGTAGGCATATGGATATTATCCTATCACTGACAGCACTGCACTTCAGGACAGATCTTGAAACATCCTTTGTGATGATGGATGCCATGCCATTCCTCTTCAAAGTGTCATTCCTGGCATAGTAGATCATATACTTGTCTGATTCAAAATGGCCAAAACCGGTCCATTTTGGCTCACTTAATGCCGAGGATATCAATCTTTATGCATTCCATTTCATTTTTGACAAGTTCCCATTTTCCTAGATTCATACTTCATCCATTCAATTATTAATGGATATTTGCAGCTGTTTCTCCTCAATTTGAGTCATGCCATGTCAGCAAATGGAGGTCCCGAAAGTTTTACTTTATCCATAGCATTAAGGTTGGTTCTACTCTAAGAAGGCAGCTTTTTGTCTGTTGTATTTTGAGTGCCTTCCGACATAAGGGACTCATCTTCCTGCAATGTATCGGACAATATTTCCGGGCTATTCATAAAGTTGCCCATTGATGTATCAGACAGTGTGTCTCTGCTATTCATAAGGTTTTCACTGGCCAATTCTTTGAGAAATAGATGGCCTCTTCGTTGGGCAATCCTACTTCCATAGTGATACCGCCTCGGAAACCCAAGGAGGGGCCGACTAGACGGCATATAACAACAACAACAACAACATCTTCCTTCTTTCTAGTCAATCTCAGTGTATAAACTGCAATGAAACTTGTGTGCAGCATAGCCTCAAGCCTCATAGCAACACGCAAGCCACCACAGTATGAAAAACTGACAGACAAGTTAGTCTCCCTTAGCTGTTCGAAACCTCTCCACCCTCCCCTTACCTGGATCTTGTGGCTCTGTTGTCCCTGGCTTTTCCCCCACTTCCTGCCTCTTGGGGTTGGGCCTGTCTCCCTCCCCTTAGTGTTGTGCTTAAAGTAAATTCACAGAAAAATCAGACAAACTATATCCATGTTGTAAATACAAAAATATCCAAATACAAAAAAAATGAGAATTGTTGTTGTTGTTATGTGCTGTCGAGTCATATCTGACTCCTAGTGACCCCTCCTTGAGTTTCTGAGGCAGTATCACTATGGAAGTAGATCGCCCAACCTTTCTTCCAAGGAGTGGCTGGTGGGTTTGAACCACCAGCCTTCTAGTTAGCAGTCAAGTGCCTTAGGCACTCTGCCACCAGAGCTCCCTAAATTGAGAATACCATATACATTATTGTGGATTATTTACTCTGTTCTGTTGGGACAGATAACAGAGACTAAGTATACAAATGGGCCTAAACATGTGTTTAGTGCTTCTGTTGTACCTCCTCGTTTGTTGTGCAGCCACCTAAGTCATAACAACTGGTGTCTACTTGCCTAAAGCAATAGGAAGAAGGACAATCATGAATAAGAGGAAGATATGGAATGTGTTGCTAATTGCTTCCATGAACAACTGCCTCCTTTGGTGTGAGACCAGAAGAACTGAATGATGCCTGGCTCCCATTACTGATTATTTTGATAAAAAATTCTATATAAGAGTCCTGATCAAAAGGGGAGAAATGCAGAATACAATTTCAAATTATCAATGGAATCCAGACTTTCTGGAGTTAAGGGGGCTAGATGAATCCCTGAAACTATTGTCCTGAGATAATCTTTAAACTTAAACCAAAATTATCCATTTAGGTCTTGTCAAAACCAAGTAATAGTATAGCTTAACTAGTAAAAAAATGTCTGTCTTAAGCATCATGCTCTTTTAAGAACTATCTATATGGGATCAAAGTGACAACAGCTACCTTAAAGATTAGTTAGGAAGCACAGGGGTAAGTTTATGTTAATAGAAGAGAAACAACTCAGAAAAGGAGGGTAAGAATGGTTGCACAACTCAAAGAACGTAATTAATCTGAATGTTGTTGTTGTTATGTGCCATCGAGTCGGCCCCGACTCATAGCGACCCCTCCTTGGGTTTTCGAGGCAGTATCACTACGGAAGTAGGATTGCCCAACCTTCCTTCCGAGGAGTGGCTGGTGGGTTTGAACCGCCAGCCGTCTGGTTAGCAGGCAAGT